TGGAGAGGTGTTGGTCTTCAATCACGGAATTGTCCGGGATGTAGTGGGCTGGTACCCAAAACTGCTCTTAAAGACAATAATTTTCCTGGCTTGCTAGAGCCTACCAAAGCACTGACAGAGTATGCAGCAGGTTCACCACTGACATCTAGAGGAAGGGGATGGTTTGGCTTGGATGGAAGGCTGGTTCATAGGGTTATACTACACCAGTCTGAACTGGAAGATGAGGAGTAGGAGAAATCCAGTATCAGGTGGATAACTGTAAATTTTAGGTGCCAGGGCTAATGATTTTAAAAGATTTGATATACCTGTGGCTGAGGGAAGAGTCAACCTGATGTCCTGAGTGAACATGTTTTGTAGTTTACGGTCCAACAGGGGGGGGGGGGGGGGGGGGGGGGGGTGTTAGTGGTGAACAGCAAATTGTTTCTTTGTCTGTACAGCCTTCTGTAGCTGAACACGGGCCTTCTCCCACACTTGGCTACACCGTATAAATCACTCATCAATGGCTGGGACGTTGTTGACTCCCATGGGAATGGTGGGGGCTGGTAGCCTAGGACACACTGAAAAAAGGGATAATTGTACTGAAGTATGTACTGGTGAATTGAGAGCCCAAGAGAAATACCGGCCCCAGTCTGTTTCGAGGAAGAATACTGTCTTAGATAGCATCCAGTCTCCTGAATCAGCTGATAAGTCTGGCCATGAGTTTAGGGATGATAGCCCCAAGATTGACCGTTAACTCCCAGGATAACAGAATGCTCTCCAATCACAAGACATAAATTATGCTTCTCAGACTGAAAAAAATTCTTCTTATATCCCAAAGAAACCTAAAAACATATAAACTAGTGTTAAATTGTATTATTTTTTTTATCAGGGAAGAACTGCTATATGTGACTGTTGTTCCTGAGAGATGGGTAGGGGTGAACTTGCTGGAAATAAATTTGGAGCCCTGGATTAGGCACATGCAGGAAAGGACAGAGGGTGCTTTCATACTGCCGGAACTTTTTTTTCTGGAACCAGAACCTTTTTCCGGAACTGGAGACTTATGTCACGTTCACACCGCAGGAACTCGGCCCGATTGTAGTTCCTTGGAGGCAGTTCCAGAACCCTTTTTAGTACCTACTCCAGACTAGGTACTTTTCGTTCAAACACGAACTACTGGAGAGGTGCTTGCAGTGATAGCTTGCTGACTGGTTGACCACAAACACTGCCGTTAACTTGGAAGCTAGGTGGAAGTACAGAAAAAGAGATGTAGCGGGTCAAAAATTTAGCAGATGTAATCATTTTTGTACCCTAGTTACATTTAATGTATTAATTAATACATTTTTTCTTGCATCTCAATATTATTGCATCAGAAAATCTGATCACTAACCGACATATTGCTTGCCAGCGCTTATTAGTGGGATAACGTTACATCATTTGTTATTCTGTGGAAAATGAAAAATTGATCTGCTGGCCAGAATTAATAAGGATCATGAGCATGTCACGATTCACATAAGTAAAACATAAATAAGGCTGTGTCCCGTTTTGATTGTGATCGATCCCCGCAATATCAAATAAAACGTCTTATCCTCCATTGTTTTGGTGTGGCAGTGTAGTTTCATGTGAAACTATATGTGATGCTTAGCCTGCAAACTTTTTGTGTCTTCCATGATTATTTAGCATGAAGGTACCAGTTCCTGAAAGTGACACATGAAATTGTTTGTGCCAGTTGGATGTGTGTCCTAGTTGTCGGAGTTGGGGACGGAAAGTGGAAATAAATCTTATTGAGAGGAGGTTAGTATGGAGGTCTTCTTGGAGACCACATATGATCTCTCGTGAAATGGGAGGTACTGTAAACACAGGCAAGTCTCCGGAGGTCTGTGGAAAGATAGGGCTACGAAATGGTTTCAAACTGCAGGGAGAGGGCATTCATCTTGGAATTAAAATGAGCAAAGAATAAAGCCCACCTGAGCTCACCTGAGGTTCAGTCTTCATGGAAGGTCACCAGGTTCTGATGGTCCATCATTCCTTAAGGGACGACTTTATAGCTAGCAGTCTGTAGACTTGTCAATTAAATACTATTGCAATGCAAGCTTTCATAGGTAAGTTTCAGTCTTCTTTTGTGGCCTAATGGTTAGGGAAGTGTGTTTGTCATTGAAAGGTTGCTGGTTTGAATCCCTAACCAGCAAAGTACCACTCAGGTAGACTGAGCAAGGTACCGCCCCCATGCCCTGCTCCCCAGGAGCTAAAATAGCTGCCCCATGCTATGTCACATATGGGTTAAATGCAGAGAACACGTTTTGTTGCTGTGGTGTATCGGCAATGACAATTAATCACTTTCACTTCATAATATGAAGAAATTTCTTTGACTTGACGATTGGTGAAAAAGCATGTCATTCTGTTGCCAGTCGAGCGCTTGTAAGGATTACAGTTTGTAACATCTGTGAGTAATGAGATTTTGATTAATATACATCCCATGTGCAGGTTTCAGTGGATGATAGCTGTGTTGGTTGTAGGTTTTTGGATTTCTGTTTATCTTCTTGATGGGTAGTCCGCTGAATGCAGAGAAGATCACACTCCCTTTTCTAATGTAGCTCACAGAATCCTTCATCTTCAACTGGTTCCTTGCATTTTTGCATAATAATTAGTCCCTTTCACTGATTGCCTGCAACTCAAGAATTTCAATATGCCATCTACTCAACTGGAACTGTACAGTGATCTCGACATTGAAATGAAAAAATTTTGCTTTTCTAAAGGTTTCCTTCTGACATTGTTTACACATAGCAAGTGTGAAGTCATCCAACTGGAAACATGTTCAGTGTAGTGATGTCATTCGAGTAAGAAAACTAAAAAGAAAAAAAGAACAAAAAGATTTTTGAGGTTCAACATGTCCATTTTTTTTTTATAACTCGTAATTGATATGTTAGAATGAGTTGAACTGGGAAATTTCCAAACCTGTCAGCTGTGCATGGGTAAAATCTGCAGAACATGTAGTCCTAGGAAACAAAAAGTCCAACTCACAGTAACCTCTCTTCTTTAGCTGGATTCAATAATAGTTTATTCAAATTGAGTACATGGTTTTCTTCAGTATATTTTGGGAAGAATGGGGTGCAGGGAAGGGTATATCCTGGCGGCCAAAAGCACATTAGCACAGGACATGAATTTGTAACTCTAGAGTTATCAGGGCAGGTCAGGTTGTAGAAGATATCTAAATATAAAAGATGCTAATGTAATGATAATAGAATCAGCTAAAATACTATACTCTATGTCAGAGGTGGCAAACCTAATCCATGGAGAGCCAGTAAGGGTGCGGGTTTTTGGGATGACCTCTCAATCAGCCAATAACAGTGGGTCGCCAGCATTGGAGCTGAAAACCACTGCTTCATTATTGGCTGATGGAGAGACCATCCCAACAACCCGCACCCTCACTGGCTCTCCATGGATCTGGTTCGCCACCCCTGCTCTATGTTTAAATAGTAAACCGGACAAGTCCTTTGGGTTGTGGGCAAAAACCAAAAATTATCATAAAAGATATTCCGAAGATGAGAAGAACATGCAAACTGCATTCGAACTCCAACAGGTCATGGGGTTTTCTACTTGAGAGCACTACATTGTTGAAGAAAGATGGAGTGATGAAGAAAGAAGGTGGGTTTTGGAACTGTATCGCAGTACCTGGCCTGCTGGATATGAGGTAGTTGGCTCCCCACCTTCTGAAAAATCTGGCATGTGTCAGTTCTCTTTAGTGGCAGGAAAACATCAGGTCATACAGGAAGTTTCTCATTGGCTGTTCGCTTTTATTTATTGTTGTTCAGAGGGATGAGGAACAAAACAGTAAATGAGAGCAATAAGGAAACAATAATAGGAACAGAAAACAGAATGCTTACTCTTTATCTTCCTGTTATGGAAACCGTTACTTTGTGGTGACTTTGCATCTGCAAGATGGGAGACCCGTACACATAAAGACAAACAAGGAACAGGAGAGGCAGCTGCAAATAGTTCCTGGGTAGGAAAGCGAACATAAAATATTACACTATTCCCCCTGGCCAGAATGAGACACACCTTGTCCCAGTAAATGAACAGGTGGCATTTAAAATATACCTTTGTTCCCTGTGTGTCCTGAGATAGGTTCAAAGATCCCTATGATAGGGATGCACCGATCCACATTTTTTCACTTCCGATCCGATTCCGATACCTGAATTTGGATATCTGCCGATACCGATACTATTCCGATACCAGAGCTCTATTTGCTTTAATATCACTATGATTATTATCATTATTGTTGATTTTATGAGGCTGTAATAAACTTCTCTACAAGCAAGTCTAGTGTATGCATGTCCCAGAAAGCAACTTGAGGTAAGTATGAGGTCAGAAAACAGCAGAAATCCCATCCTGAAAACAAATATGCAACTTTAACCCTTAAGGACCCACAGTGACACTGGTGTCACCGCCCCTTTACAACTTACAACCCCCGTAATTTTCATGAAAGTAGAAATAGGTCTGGGTTCTTAAGGGTTAAATACGCCCACCTTACTTCCATAAAGATATTAACCCTTAAGAACCCAGACCTATTTCTACTTTCATGAAAATTACGGGGGTTGTAAGTTGTAAAGGGGCGGTGACACCAGTGTCACTGTGGGTCCTTAAGGGTTAAGGGTTTAAATGGATATTTATTTTAATTTCAAGACAGGATTACTAGATACTAGTGCAATTATTAATTATATTTGTAGTGTAGAATGGCCAACAGCATAGTGGTTGATGAAGTTCCAACCATTGACTGCCTGGTCTTTACAGTAAGTGTTTAATGTATCTTTTGGGGTGTGGGGCAGTTTTACTTTGTTGTCCCTCAGTCAAATTTATTTAAATTTAATTCAGCCAAATTTTTTGCTCTTTGAAAATAATAAATTGTCAGTTAAGTTCTCTCTTAATGTAGACTTATATGTATCAAAAACAAGGTGTGTTAGTGTGAGTTCCATAATGTTTTGTTTGTATAGAAGGTGTATGTGTGTTTGTGTGTGTGTGTGTGTGTGGGGGGGGGGGATCAGCATGAGATCAGCAAACGTATATTCTTTGTGGACGTTGTAGCACAAGCTGTCAATATATTTGGAAGTTGTTCATTTGCTGGGATGTGGCGGCTTGGAGGCTCAATCCAGCTTCCCTTAGTGTGGGCCTGAAGTTTGCACATCCTAAACCTGTCCTGGGTCTTTCGTTTTCCTCTTCCAGTTTGAATACATGCAGCTGCTGATTTTTGTAGCGTATGAGTATGTCATGTATGCGCCCTGTGTCATGGCATCCCGTCTAGGGCGTTTAACCCTTTTCTTGTACTCTGTTACCTTGGTGAGGCTACAGGCACTGTAGACCCTGTCCAAGATGACTGGCTGGAAGATGGAGGGGTGCACTTTAACAATGCAAATGATAAATGGTTTGTTTTTGTTGCACAGATCAACGAGCTTGTTACCATTCAACAAAGTGGAAAAACAAAGATGGTAGTCTTGTATAATAGACTCCATTTATTTGCTTGTTTGTTTTTTGCAAGTCAATCTGATTCATTATAAAGGAAAAATATGAGTTTACTCTTGTCCTGCTTTTGCCAAATTGGTACTTCCTGTGATTTGTGAACCACACCAAGAATTTCCTTAATTAGTGCTCAGATCCCAAATTTGTATTAATGGCAGATTCATACGGCTTGTTCCTTTATTTTGCTCCACTCATTATGGAAGCCATATTAACTTTTGAGATTCATGGCCTGTGTGGGTTTTGAATATTTTAACCAAATATGTTTCAAGTGCTTTCAGGTGCTCATTTTCACCCTATATGTTTGCAGCTGTACCATTAACCTCATTGCGTTTCTAATCATTTTCTGCTAAATTTTGCAGTGCGTCTGAATGCCGTTGATGGTTTTAAAGGGGAAAACGGAGAAGCGTTAGAAAAGAATGAGAAAAACAGGAGAAGAAATGCAGATAAGCTAGAAGGGCCAAAAAAAAAAAAAGACATTTCAACACTCACCAGTTTCTCCGGGCAATGGGAACACTGACACAAGTCAGAACATGTGCAACACGTTTACTTGAAGGCTTGATGGTCCCCCTGTGGACCAAAGTGGTGCCATACCAGGCGGGTAAAGCAGTACCAGAGCACCACGGTCCAAAGGAATGTACGTTACAATACACGGCCAAGTGCTATCTACAAAGCTGGTATGGTAATCGAATGAATGCTCAACGAGCTCTAATTTTCTCAATGTCTGCATTTGTTTTCAATGTAGAGAGAAAAAATATGATAAAGGCCTTTATACAACAATGCAGTATTGGAGCAGATATAAAACTCTGCTAATTCATACCATGTTGGCCTTTCTTGAATTGCCACCTGATCCTATGACCACAGTAAAGAATTTGTTTTCTAAAAGGTAGATATTGAACAATGAACTATTTGTTCAGAGCTCACAGCAAATAAACAGGATCTCACGCAGTTTTTTTTTTTCCTCTGTTGTTTCCTATGTTGCAGCGTTTTTTTAATCACCAGGGAGACCGTCATGAACGGAACCTTGAAATCCCATAGTTCTTTGCAACCAGCTTGCCCTTTTCGCTAATGTCCGTGAAGTATTCAGACATGGTCATATTTTTAGGGGTAAGTCTTCGTGACCAGGAAATTCCTTATTTGTGTCTAGGCATTTTTCAGTCAGTGTGTTTCGTGTTTCTGGTGCAGAGTGTGACACGGGAATGCCAAGATTCATTGCAGAGCTTAAACGTGGAATGTAAATGTTCAATTAGTTTAGTGAGAAATGAAAAGGTGAAGCTGTTTCACTCATTAGAAGCTAAACAGAATGCTGCTTCCCTCTTTGTGCTCTACAAGTTCCTACCTACATTCTGAAGTAATGTGACACATACTTCAGGTTCTGTGCTTTGATTGGTAGACCTGATGGACTCAATGTTCATAACTATTAATCTGTTATAAGAAATCTACAGCTCATACTCTCAGTATCCGGAGATGCACAGTATATAGATAAAAAAACTGTAGTGTTTTCCAAAAAAAAAAGTCACCTTCAGGTACCAGCTGCAGTGTTTCTATTCTGAGTATTAACCGAAGCCAGTGAGGAGTAAAATTTGAGCTTTGCAGAGTTTTTGCGATCACACTCACCTCCACCTACTCTATGTAATCTTACCAGTAAATCATTGTGCTGAGCTGTTTAAATCAGTATTCCTATTTCGGTATTCCTGTGACAGGATTTACATTAAACAAGGAAGATCTGCAAGTACTAATCCATAGTGCCTAAGTGGGTGAGGAGAGGTTCGAATCAGCATTTCTGAATCCTGGCTCTGTTGGACCACTCTGTAGGCTAGTTTTTTTTCTTCCTTTCTTTTTTTATATCTGACCTCTGAATATTACTTCACCTGGCTTGAAAAATCTGCAGTGTTAAACCAATACATTTGTCATGGTCTCCGTTAAATTTTGGTTTATTTGATAAGATCTAAATTTATCCCAGTTTTGCACGCTGTTCAAATGTTAGTTAATTCGAGGATATGGTATTATATGTATTATGGAAACTTTTCTGTGCGGGAGATTATTACTTGGTATATAAGGCATTCTTTATGTATATTAATAAGGCCAAAAATACTATGTGAAATGAATCCTAAACCAAGTGGCTACCCACACATGCACAACTGTGGGAAGATGCATCGTCTATTTTAAACCTTCCCTTCCTGCCGTGTAAAGTGCACAACATGCAAATTACCAGAAGGCAAGAATCATTCGGCTGTTTTCGCAACTCTGCGGACGTTCAGAGTTGTGCACTAGTTTAACCGTGCTACGGACACTCAAAGATGGAGAGCAGACACAGGCTTTCCTGCTTTTTGAACCTGCCAAACAAAATCAAGATTTTATTTTTTTGCTGATCTTGTTCGTTGTGACTAAATGTAAAACAAGGTCAATTAACTAGTTTTTCTGCCTTCGGGATCATTCTGGGTCAGGTGCTTTCTCACGTAACACTCCTTCATAATGTAACATCTCATTATACGCTCTGTCTAGGAACCAACAAGATTATTCCGGCTGACATGAATTACTGTTAACGCAACAGTAGGTTAACTAAAAGATCTGTTCATTCTATTTTCTAGATTGAGATTGTAACTAGATATCTTTCAAAATTCTATTAAAAGCTAGAGTGTACATTGCTGTTATGGATAGTAAATATTACAGAACACCATGTGGCTTGGCAAGAGGGATCTAAAAATGCATGAAGTGTACAGAAGTGTTCCGTATGTATTCTGGGATGCGTGGGGTGACACTCTATCTTACTTTTATGTCTTTGCTCCATCTTCCTAGTTAGTTTCTATGTTTTTTTTTATTTTTTCATGCATCTGGATTTGATAAGCCAGTTTGAGTTTAGTACACATAAGGATGAGATGACCTGGCAACCTCTCGGTGATGGTTCTGGTGCATTAACCATTACACTTCCTGTCACCTCATCGCAGTTACTGCCTTTACAGTGAAGTGTGCGCTACTTGTGGTGTTGGGATCACTGTTACAAGGTGCAGTCACAAAAATGGAAGAAAAAGGCAATTATGTTTGAGTAGACGGTGAATGTTGGGACAGAACGGTATTATGTTTATGGAGGGAGTTGTGTATATTTGATAAGTGATGATTTTTAGGATGACCTAAATATTTGCGAAAAAGAGTAGCTCTTTTTCAAAAGGTGCTTTTTCAACTATCTCTTTGAAAGCATAATTATCAGACGAGCTAATAGCTCGTGCTAATCACCGTCTGTGTTGTGGTTAATAGGTTTTGGCAGTGCTAGATCCTTCTTTTATTTTCCTTTCTTTTTCAGAAATACACAGTAGAAAATTTACCTTAGCACATGTATGCAGATTCTCACAGGAAGTGCAGCGTAACCCGTTCTCTGATTCAGCACAAAAACAGCAAAGGTTCTGTTTCCTGCTCTGGCACTTTACACCAGGACTTTCTGGTTATCCCCAGCCTCTGTGCCTTCCTCCACAGGTCATAGTCCTCAGTTGTGCGGCTGACTGCGACTGACGTGGTAGACGGAGGCTAAAGAATCGGGCCATTCTGTGGGCAGTCCCAGCACAGGCAGTCTGAATGAGACAAGCTGGACTTCGGGGGGGCCCCGGATGGGACAGGGAGTGAGGATGGACAAGCTGGCAGAGTTCGAGAGCTGCTGTCCATCGAGACGTCGAGAATGGGAGTGAGTTTCTCGCGACCGATCATCACTCACTGTGACAGACATGTAATCAGCAGGGTCACCTGCTGTATGTTTTATATAAACTTTTTAATATTCTATTATTTTTATATAATTAGTTGAAATTAAACATTATTTATCATTTTAGGTTTTGGATGTGCTTTTGTTATTAAGTATTTAAAAGATTTAAATTATTGGTAATATCTTCACCGGTTTACCTACAGTTGTTGAAATCAACTATGTAAGATGTAATGTTTTGGCAGCTGAGATGTGTCGTCACATAATGTTTTAATGTAATGCAATTGCTTCTTGCAGTACCAGCAGTTGCATGGATGATTTGCTGGAAGAAGACGAGAAAGACAGAGCGAAAAGGTACGTATATTAGTAGTATAATATTTAATAACACATGAAATATTTCTTCAGGTCTGATCCCTAAGTGTTCTGTGAGCTTAGAAATGAAGGCCAATAGTGGATAAGGATGAGAATGATTCATCTGGTGATCCAGATCGCTTATACAAAATTACATGTATTACAATAATTTGAGAGGATAATTATTTTAATGAATGTACGGCCAAGTCAAACGAGTCCTTCTCGCAAGCATTTAGAGAAAGTGAATGATGTTTATGGGGTTTAATTATCATCTGACATTGCAATTGGCAGGCCTCTGTATTTGATTCACTGTTCTTGTTTTAGTAAGCTAGTATCTTTTTGTTATCAAAAGGGCGTCTCGCAACAAGTCTGAGAAGAAGAGGAGGGATCAGTTCAATGTTCTCATTAAGGAGCTGTGCACCATGCTTCAGGGACAAGATTATCCCCGAAAAATGGACAAATCCACAGTACTACAGCGAACCATTGACTTCCTGCAAAAACAGAAAGGTAAAGGAGAATATAAAATTCATCTGCCGGTGCAGTACTGTTTGGCCTGGTAGAAGTTATTGAGTTGTTTGGGTTTCACTGTCACAGTACCGGAATACTTGTGCTGAAGAAAGTCTGGCCAGGGCTGACGGCCATTAGTAATGGTAGACATGGGCTAAAGGTGGACCATCACGAGATTGGTGAAGGAAAGCCAAAAAGGTTTACTGGTATTTTATTATAGCCCGCAGTGTCTGAATTGGCAGAAACTGAATTCTAACATGCAAAAGCTGACTAATCGGAAGAGAGGTCACTAGGATTTTCTGTTATTATTTTTCACATTATGCGTGCAGTGCTGACTGTGTAAGGATGTTAAGCTGTTGTTAAGGGTGTTTTGTATATGCTGGTTCCTGGGGAGTGGTGTAGGGAGAGTAATGGGCACAGTCTTTTATTGGAGTTGGGAAAGAGTTTGAGCTGGCTTTGTCCGTCGGACTTGCTACATTAGTGGTGTTCTGAGCCTGTTTTTCATCTTCCCTCTCTTTTTAGAGATCACCGCTCAGACCGAATCATGTGACATCCGGCAGGACTGGAAGCCACTCTTTCTTTGCAATGAAGAATTCACGCAACTGATGTTAGAAGTAAAAGCCCAATCTTCATCTATGAAATGCTCTTTACTCTTTGTGCAGTAAATGTGTATTAATATAACATTACATGCACTTTTCTCCTCCATAGGCTTTAGATGGTTTTCTCATAGCTCTTACCACAGATGGCAACATTATATATGTTTCTGACAGCGTTTCGTCCCTGATTGGTCACTTGCCGGTAAGTAAGAATTTACCCGGCATCGGTGGGCGATGGATTTGTTTGTGACATGTGAGAGGTCTACTGTTGCGAGCAGCAGTTAATCATATTTATTGCCCGACCTCGTGACTGTAGGACACATTGCCTTTGTTTCCATCACCGAGCTGCTGAATTTATAGTAGCTGAAGAACCTTTCATATCCCACATTACAAAAACAAAAAAGTCCTGTCAGTGACTCAGTACTGTATATTTTTAAGGCACATTTTTTTAATATCTAGCTACCAGGCAGATTTATATGAAGCCTTTTGGCTTAAATATTTATTGTATATTTATTGTAACTATATATTAAATAGAATGATATATAAAAATGAAGATATAAACCCTAGATAGTCTGAATAGCATTTCATGTGCTAATGGTCAGTATTCGTAGCTTATTCCAAGAATCTGGAAGATGCATGAAAGAAATGACTCATTGTCGAATGAGTTTCTTCGTACCATTTGCAGTGCATCAGTCAAACATACGTCTGCATGTGAAACGTGAGAGATTTCAATAAGCAAACTGTTAACTGCTTAAGATTCCCAAAATAAATTCTTAGATTTGTTTCAGTCTTGGTGATGTAAAACAGACCGATGCCGAACAAAGGGGCGTGTCACCTGTCATCTCCTCTTCTCTGGACATTTCTCCATGCCTTCTCCCATCTCACAAACCTGTGTTTAAATTGACCTTAGGGGAAGGATGTAGTTGATGAGCATCTGCTAATGCGGCTATTAGGCCATTGTGTTTAACATCTCAAGCAGCTGTTCCCTTATATCCATTAAACTAAACATGACAACCCTGCATTTTTTCATGACTTGCTTGATAGTGGAATCATTTTTCCTTGTGCAGATCTTTGTAGCTGTATTGTGTTGGATATCTACGCGCAAATACTCATTTTATACATCAAAGAACTGGAGTATTAGTGACTCTGAATGCTGTACGTTCTGAATCTTTTAGCGTATTTTTCTATAACGGCACTTTTGTATGAATTATGCTTCAGGTATTATGCAATTTGAATGAGAAATATGGTGAATATCAAAGTTTGCCTGGAGAAAAAGGGAGAGAAGAAAATCAAAGCTGTTTTGATATGTAAACTGGTTCATGAGTAAAAGGGCAGCTTTTGAACAGGTTATATGGCAAAGTAAGTGATCAAAATTCACAGTGAAATAACATTTTTGCTGCTTCTTTTTATGTGTAAATATGATAATATCTGCTATATTTTCCTTGATTTTTAAGCACATGTGTCTGAAGTATCTTCCTTGCCTATAGAATCTGAATATGTCAGAATGCTTAGATAAATATAGAGATTACGGATGTGCATCTCCATCACTCTGACTTTGTGCATCGCCAATGATCCACTATATTAAAGATACATATGAAGCAACTACTGTTGCAATACAATATGATTCACTGCTATTGCAATGCAGTGCGATTGAACATGATTTGATTTAACACAATGTGAATCAATGCGATACAGTGCGATGCAAAAGAATATGATGCTATGCAATTCAGTACAGGTACAGAAACAGAGAGGGGGAATCTTAATATATTAATAAATGATTAGTCAGAAATTATTGGTTACATTTCTAAATAATAAAGGCAAAGGGCATCTACTAATAATTGTACAGTATGTTAATACATCGGATTTTACTGATGCATCCTGAGTTTGTCCCAAATCATATCCGGTGCACACTTTTTAAATTGGGACAGTCGCATTGTGACTATTTATACTGGTGCACTGAATCAATAAATCTTTCCTTCCCTAAAAGAAACTTAAAAGTTAATAAAGCTCCATCTGCACTAGATGCAGATCTTATCATTGAGTTATGCATTAGCACTGCAAATGCCATAATTACATGTATCATTGCCATCTTAGTGCCGTGGTTTGGCCCAGTAGTATTTTGGGATTATAAAATTTATCTTAATCAATATTCACATTTCATTGTGTGCAGAATCCCAGACTTGAAGCTGAATATCTTTATTTTGCTTTCTGAGCTACAAACCTAACTACATCACACTTATTTCCTGTTCCTAAATGTTTTGTCCATTTCATGTTGAATAAAAATGCCAAATATGGATTTCAAAGAAGCATTAACGACCTTGCAGCATTGGCTGCCTTTGATAGAGTGTTATCTGGCCCCACTTTGTGTGGCAATGAGAAGCAGGGCAGGATTACTGAAGCAGTGTGTGACATTCTGCTGTGTGTTTTTGATTAATTGAAGTCCTTAAACATGGAGGAAGAAAGAGCTATCTTAGAGGTCCATTACAGTTGGTGGATAAATTTCTTTCATGGTGGATTTGGTACCATTAGCCTGTGGCCAAAATATTTTCAATCACCTGTAAGATTGTATCTAGAGTTTCAACAGTATTTGTGAGGTTTAGTTATCATCAATATAAAGGTGAGAAAATGGAGTGTTTCTGCAAGCTGTTATACCAATGAAATGTACCCATTTTGTGCATTCATGTGTTATCTGTTATTCACATTTAGTAATATATTTCATACACACAGATGCCGATTCCATTATTCTCGTTCCTGCTGCTTGCCTGCTGTGTAGCTGCCTTTCTGTAACCTTGACTCTGACACCAGAATTGAACATAATATTTATGGCACATTTTCTGACAAACAGCAAATATGTTTTACCGATGGATACATGAATTTGTCTGTTATGGAGTTCACACATTTGCTCATTAAATGCATGACAGATTGCTCTTTTGTATCAGTCAGATATGGTGGACCAAAACATCTTGAACTTTCTCCCTGAGCGAGAACATGGAGAGGTCTACAAGCTGCTGTCGTCCCACATGCTGATGGCCGACCCCGTCACCCCTGACTTCATGGACAGTGAGTGCCCTCTCTTCAGTCCGCCGGTGCCCTGTTGTTTCCCCAGAGCTGTGACTCCCCACGTTGGAGACGAGGCCGACTGCTGATTCCATTAACGGCCTTTAATTCTGCCTCTTCTGCGCTGCCTCTGGGCAGACAAACATTGGCATGAGGGCTGTCTGGTCCTTTTTCTGGATTGCAGAAACTCACAGCTGTGCACTTTGACACTAGACAATGTGGAGAGGGGCAGAGTCACAGCAGACTTTCATAAAAACATCTATATTAAGTGATTATGGACGCTTTCTTGAAATAGGTTAATACATTATTGCGGTGAAGGTCTGTACCCTGTCTGATGTGCGTGTAGTGCAATCTCAGTTCCTGAATGAATGCTTTCATAAATAACATGGAAATTGTCCTTCTTATTAAAAGGAATTTTGCATAAATACCTACAAGTCATGCAGACGGCTGCACAGGCAAGGTGATGCATGTTAAATCCATCATGTCAGTTTGTCTTGAGGGCTCTTCTTCTCATTAAAATGCTGATTAATTACTTGTATTCACCCATCCGATCTACAAAGTTTATTGGGTTGCTAATGATCATCTTGGGTAAGGATGCAGCCTGATCTATATGTACATTCTGCCCTTTTGTTAGCATCCATCCATCTTCCAACCAGCTTATCCTTTTTTGGGTTGTGGGGGGTCTGGAGCCTATCCCGGAAGCGACGGGCACGAGGCAGGGAACAACCCAGGATGGGGGGCCAGCCCATCGCAGGGCACACTCACACACCATTCACTCACACGCACACCTAAGGGCAATTTGATTACTCCAATTAGCCTCAGACCGTGGGGGGAAACTGGAGTACCCGGAGGAAACCCCACGACGACATGGGGAGAACATGCAAACTCCACACACATGCGACCCAAGCGGAGACTCGAACCCGAGTCCCAGAGGTGTGAGGCATCACCATGCTGCATCACCATGCTGCACCACCATGCTGCCCCTCCTTTAATTAAAACCACCATTAGTAGTTTGATGTTTTTTATAGTAACCTGGAGTATTAATTGGATTGGTGCTCAGGGCGCCGAAGGGATATGGCACACCATGGTATCAATGTCTAAGAAAGCATTGAAATCTTTTATCAGAGTCTTCGGTGGTCCCTCAATACTCTCACAAGATGTTAATTAAACTTGTGAAATTGCAGATCAACCTGCCAGTCGTTTTACCAGTCTGTGACCTTTTTGTACAACATAAACCCCTCCGGAAATATAAAAATTTCGGAAAGCCCTACTACAGTGCCTGAAATTAAGTTGCTAGGAATATAGCTACTGTAGTTTTACCATTTTTAATTCTTTCCACACACCTCTCTGGCCTTTCGTGCTGACAACCCAGCAACGCCTTCCGCCATGTTTGGTCTTCAGTCGGTGTGCCCTGGCTCTGGTGTTTTACAATGTTGATTAATATGCCTCTGAAAACAATGCAACAGTGGATCATGTATCTGATTAAGGAGCCAGGATCTTTTTGCAGGTGGTGTCATATGAACATGCTTGATAGCTAATGTCTGATAGCTAATGTCTGATAGCTAATGTCTGATAGCTAATGCCTGATAGCTAATGTTTTGTTCGCACAAAGTGGAGAGATCTGGTGGTAAATTAAACAGCTCCGAAGCCTTCATAAGCATTACTAACGATGTTTTAAGAACACTGTGAATTTAAGGGCATTTAAAAAAGTGCTATTAGTCTGAATGTTGCTAAACATAGACTGGAACATACTGACACTGTTTAGTTGGAAAATCAGAAACATCATATGAAAAAACCTGAAACAGTTACTTAGTGTCATGTGTGGCAAAAGTCTTTTTCATTAAAGAGTAATAAGTGGACACAAGCAAGGCATTGTTGTCTTTCCTTCATCTGTAGCACAGCAGTGCAACACTGCTGGAACATTATTATACTTTTCTGCTATGGTGCCAAGCAGTGTCAGATCAGGCTGGATTGATTTGTTTTGCCAATAAAATCCAGAACTCAGATTACAGAGTCGAAGCAATAAACACAACTGATGTCACGGTATAGAAATTCACAGTGCTTATTTGCTGTAGTGCAAAATAATCCTTAGTCCCTCAATATCTAAATACCACCAGATTTAAACAGCGACAGAGCTCTAATACAAGAAGATGCACAAGCAGCACCTAGATTTGCAAATCATGTCTAAATTAAAAGCAGCCTCACTAGCCTGTCCCCTGGGTTTACTTCAACCAAAAGGCACTCGATTTTTAATTTGCAATTTGCATAACACAGTTAACTACAGACTTGGGAATATTAAGGGATTTTTATTGCAAACATGAGGCAGCTTTTCATTTTGGGGTAAGTCACTGCGTGTTTAATGCCCTGTTGTTTTGCTCGTGCAGTGTTCACTGAAACTTGCTGTTTCAAAGGGGGACACTGTTTTTCTCTTAAAAGTTTGTGGCATGTCTGGACAATGAACAAATGACATATTTATATATCTCATCCCCCTCCACCCCCCCCTCGCTGTCTCCGTATGTAAGCCGCTTCCTCTGCTGAATCACATCTGTATGATTTGCACATGAAAGTGTTCCGTTCCAGGCTGCGTTTGAGAATTCGCGATGACTAAGACCAGTTTAAATTAATGTGTTTGGAGAGTCTAGTCCTACTTTTTCTGCCTTTATTTATTTTGGCTGAAGACCGTCTGAAACTGACAAGAGCTTAAATGGAGGGGCGGGACTTGAAATAGTTGAATGTTGACTATTGCTATTATCTGTTATTCATCCTGTAGTAGTTTCTTTTAAGCTGTAATTTTGTATGAATAAAAGAATTATAAGACCGCAGACTGTTCTTTAACCAACAGTTATTACATTTAACAGTATGCGGCCATCTACACTTACAGTACAGAGAGGGGGAGCTGGTGCATGTTATTTAATTGTTACTGACTAAATAGGCGTGTTTTTTTTTTTCTTTCTAAAAGGTTTACTGTTTAAGTATTGCAATAACAATGGCTTCCCTCTTCAGATGCACTGCCTGTCATTTCAGATGAGTCACACATCGAGTTCTGTTGTCACTTAGCAAGAGGAAACATCGACCCAAAAGAGCCCCCTACATATGAGTATGTGAAATTTGTTGGCGATTTCAAGTTTCATAACTATGGTAAGTGTATTTATATGCCAAAAAATGAAATTAAAAATGTAAAATGTATTATATATGTATATATATGTGTGTGTGTGTGTATGTGTGTGTGTGTGTGTGTGTGTGTGTGTATACACACACAGACACGCTTGGAAGCATGGAAATATCAGTGGTGTTGTTAGCTGAAAGTTTGTTGACCAGTCATTTGACATTCATCCATCCAATTTCTATATCCACTAGATTCAAAGTTACAAAATCTTCCTAAAGCAGCCTTACTTTCTCTGCAGTGATGGACATTTCTTGCTTTATTTCCTGTACAGTATATATTATCTGTTCTTTAATTCATTTTGGAAAATTTCCGTAATAAGAAACTAAATTTAATTACATTGGTGCTTTTCAGAGTGCTTACCGGTAACTTATCCCAGTGCTTAATTAAACCTTGACAGGATCCAAACTGGCTCTTTCAGATTATCTGAAGTGTTAATCTCTGTCTTTTTATGGTGCGATGTACCTGACAGACTTCAGAAATTATTCTGATGAGTAGAAATCTTGCGGTAAATATGTCGTGGACTCTTCAGTACCCTAATGGCACACACTTGTTAAGTTTGTTAAAATTGCACAAAACATACCAATAAGACAGCATGTTTTCAGTGCAGAATAATGCCGAAGTTACTCTCCAAACCCTGAAGAGTGTCTTTATACTGAACGGACTTTCTCATATTGTATGTTCACCAGGGAAAAGCTAATGCCAAGACCTCTGTTTGACTGGAAAATTACAATGTGCAAGAACAAATTTCCATCTCTTTACTTAAAATATTGCCTGGCAACTTTAGACGATGTTTCCATGTGGTTCAAAGCCAGGAATCCTATTCTTGCATTATTAAACCAGCCAGGTATGTTGCAGCTGTTTAGACAGAGTCAGAAGTAAATGTTACATGTACTCCACCAACATCAGATTCAGATCAGATAAGATTCGGATCATATTTCCTTTATAGTGACTATTTAGTAAAAAAAAAAATATAAATTCTCTTCCCCTCAGACTGAACAGTGTTACGGTAGACACATACACACAATAATCACAATATCACAATATCACAATGACAAACTGGGTATAAGGATAAAAAAACTTTTATTCCCAAATAAAAGTTTATAATCCCAAAGGAAATTGTTTGAGACTACACATTACACAACCGCACAACAAGACAAAAATAGACAGTACGCAGAACCACATACAACAATCTGTATAAAAATAAATATGACATATAAAGTTGATAAATAGATGGGTGAATATGGAGATAAGAACGGTGAATATTGCACTCAAAAGATAAATAGATATTGATTAAAATATTGATTATTTTTATATTGAAATTGATTTTATAATATGCATTACTGTGCAAAGGTCTTACTGTAGATAGTCAAAGGAAATGTTTAAAGCTGTTTATCTGGGTACTAAGTGTGTGTTTGCTCAGAACAAAAAACACAATTTAACATTAGAACATGTGGAAATTAAGAGTAACACAATAAAAACAAACAAGGATTCCTTCAGTTCTCTAAAAAGTAACTGATATCACGTTGGATGGCTAGATGAACGCCGCTTCAGTTCCCAAACCTCTCCTCAGGGGCACCTCAGCCGTTCCATGTGTTTGTTACATTTCATAATCAGCTCACTTAATTAATGAAATTAGTGCTAAAAAAGGTATTGATTAGCCATATGAGGTGGGGGTAGTGGTCAAGTCAAAAAATACTTGGGTATACATGGGTATAAAATGGCAGTGTTACACAAACATGAAGAGAATTTTAACGTTGTGTTTTTTTTCTTCTCAATTACATATATACAGTATATATAAATAAAATAACATGTGTGTGTGTGACACACAGTGCCTACGATGTCCTGCAACGGCTTTGACCTGGTGATGCCAAGACCGCTGCAGGCCTCCCTGGACGAGCAGGTCTGCTTGGTGGCGACCGTGCGACTGGCCATGCCACAGTTCCTAAAGGTGAAGCCCGCCAGACGGCACTTGAGAAGTGTGCTGATTTCACCTTGGAAAAGTTCCACGGATTCACCTGACATGACTTGTGTGACATCTGAGCTTTGTTGCTCTTCGTTTGTGTTTGTTTGCGTTTGTCCGTTTTTCCCAGGATCTATGCACTGTTGAAGATCCATGTGATGAATTCACCTCCAGGCACAGTCTGGAATGGAAGTTCTTGTTTTTGGATCATAGGTAAGTCATTTGTTTCCCAGTTGCATACAGAAAGCCATCGGTTGTAGGGCATATGGTTTGTATTGAAGCATTATGTATTACATAATGGTATATGTATGTACTTTTAGGTTATGTTAAGCATATGTCCTAAAGCGTACGTCTCCTTGACCATGTTGTGAAATGTTGTATGGAAGATCTCTATGTTGAAACTGTGGTCTATTTATAATGTGAGGAAAGTGTGGAAGTGAAACTGGGATGCGCTCTCTAGTCTAGAGAGATCTTTGACTACAATGAGCTAATTCAAAGTGTCAGAATGACAAAACAGTTGCCAGGGGGCAGTATGTAGGGCTAGGCCCATCAGCCAGGCCCTTAACCCCAGCTCTGCCAGAGCTGCTGCCTGGTCCTACTCGCTCCTCATTTGTAGAGCGCTACAGATGAAAGTGTGTAACAGATGAATAAAATTCAATGTAAAAATGTAAATGAGATTTTCCCGAGTCCCAGTCTTCATTTGAGTGCTGTCTGTGCACTAAAGCACATATCCGGTGACTAATAAACAAAACCAGAATGGGCTCTCAGGAAGCTCCTTTGGTGGATGGAACAAAAACATCCAGAGTTAAAAGGCTCAAATGTGTCATATAACATCCTATGGTCAATTAATCCATTTTCAGCTGTCCGCTGTCACAATGTACTGAAGTAAACAGAATACTGAAGATTTTAATAGACTAAATATCATTAAGAAAGAGTGTAATTTTGTAATATTGTCATTGATAATGAACTTCGACCAGGGCTATTGGTGAAAATGAATGGTGAGTTCTATTGTGTTGGCACTGGACAGTCGCAATTTCATGCAGGCCCAGATTTTCCGCTCGTATAATTCGCACCTTGTTAACATGTATCTTAGTAAGAAACTGTTACCTTGTATCACAGCAGCTTCTTGATTTCCTTTCAGAGCTTCACCTATAATTGGCTACTTGCCTTTTGAGGTTCTCGGAACGTCTGGCTATGATTATTATCATGTCGACGACTTGGAGCTAATCGCAGAATGTCACAAACAATGTAAGTGAGCTTCTCCACGGACTTAAAGACATGCTTTTCCTCTACCCCCGCTGGACCTAAAGAACAGTTTCCAAAGGGCAAAATAAGTCAACTGTAGGTAATAACTACTTTTCAGCTATCAAACGTCAATGAGGATGAGTTTTTCAGGATGATTAGCGGTAGCATTAAATCACACTCCGTAATGTCGCCATTTGCTGGTCCCGACGTGACCTGAAATGCTCGCCGTTTTGGCTGGACGTCACACTCACCCTTTTCCCTCCTCAGTAATGCAGTTCGGAAAGGGAAAGTCCTGCTACTATCGCTTTCTGACTAAAGGACAGCAGTGGATCTGGCTCCAGACACACTATTACATCACCTACCACCAGTGGAATTCCAAACCGGAGTTTATCGTTTGCACCCACACTGTGATCAGGTAGGGTGCCATGCCACAGTGCCACCTGGTGTTCACCTCTGGCCTGTCAGCTGAAATGAGCTCGAGTAAAGTATTGTGTGTGCGTTTAAGATTCAGCAAAGGCTGAAAAACATGCAAGGCACAGAAATGCATCTCTTAATATTGGTAAATGGTTTTGAAATTCAATGAAAGCTATACTTCTCCCTGACATCTACGTTTATACATATATTTTACTTCTATTGATATTAAAAATTTTTGTACCCCAAGCATTTTAGGTATGTGCCTGTGTTTCACTTTAGACATCCCATGAAATGCTTCCCTTAAATTACAGGAAATTTTGATGAATTGTTGCTTTCTGTTTGACATTTAATCTATAACTTCAGTCTGGGATGAGTCCTGTAACTATTCTTAGATTAATGTTATTTCAGTTCTGAGCTTTGTCCTTTTTCCTGTTTCCTGTTTCCTGTTTAATGGTTGGTACCTAAAGTAAGGTGGCCTCAGCTAAATATTTAGCCTGATCCCTGAAAAATATCTCTTCTGCACAGCTATGCAGAGGTGCGGGCAGAGCGGAGGAGAGAGCTGGGCCTTGAAGAGACCCTGTCTGAAGTCCCCTCCTCCTCCTTAATTAAGGTTCCAACTTCCTGTTTGAAAATTCTAACGTCACTCATCCAGGTTATATTCAGTAGACCAATGGTTCTCAAAGTTTTTGTTTGAAGACCTTCCTAAAACATTAGTTTATTAGTTTTGTGACCCCTTTTAATACAATGAAAATTCGGCACGGGGTCTGTATGCCTTAATATTGAGAGGCTTTATCAATTTACGGTAACAGAGACCCCTAGCTGTCTATAGGTTAAGTACAACCTTCCTTTGATTTACGTTACTAATTTGCTCCTTAAAAACCACCGAAATAAAAAAAATATCCGTCCATATACTAATGACATATTTACCACCACAATCTAAAAATCCTAAATTTCCCAAATAGTACTAGAGAAAAAGCTTATGTAACAAACGTCAAATTGCAATAAGAAATCGATAAAAAAAAAAAACTAGTGTGATTAAACTGTTGTTCTCATTTTTTGTGAATAACATGTTTAACTCATAATGTTTGGCTGAAACTGTAAAAAAAAATCAGTATCTGTAGTGTTAACCTTTTTATATTCCTTTGCTGAAAAAAACATCAAAGAAATTAGTCAGTAAATCACCATTCTGCTATCAAAACTCAAGATCCGGCAAAATGTAAACAATATCACTGTAGACCAGGCAGTGTCTGTAGAGCAAAGTCATTCAAACCGTGGGGCACAAAAAAACAGAACTGAGTAATATGAACACATTATATGCCTGTACACATTGTACGATTGAACAAATCAAAATGATTAAAGTGTGAAAAACAGACAGACACTACATACTAGCAATGCAACAAAGGTTTACAGTGGACAAGTTAAAATGTTATGTTAAAATGCTTACAATACATTGAGAAATTTATAGCTTCTAGTAGCGTTAAAATAAAATGTGATGGCTGGCAAAGCAACATCTATAACCAGTAGGAACTGAAAATAACATGACGCATACTTGTAATACCGTTTTGTGTGTTACTGTATATCTACTGTATCTGTGTGATGAAGGGGGGTCAGAACAAGCAGGGACCAATAGAGGGCTTTGTAAAAGAAAACTTTGAATACCACTGCTGTAGAGAGTACATTTTTTGACCAAATTACAATTGTCCTTAATGTTCATAGTTACTGTGTTTGCTTTGAGTAGAGTCACGATGTTTACCTGGATGTCAGCCAGGAAGCGCCCAGAGTGAGCAGGACCCGGTCTGTGTCCTCTCATAGTTCCCGCAAGTCGTCCCACACTGCCATGTCGGACTCTGTGTGTAAGTGGGTCCGGCCTCTCAAACAGGTCTGGCTAGACGCTTCTGAAGCCTGCTACCCATTGCTCTAGCTATGTGCCGTTTGCTAATATTCTGATATATGTCTTTTCCAAGATTTCGAAATGCAGTATTCTGTGGGCCTCGCCTTATTTTCATTTAAGACTAGCCCCAGGCTGGGCGGCAGACAGAACAAAAGAACCATTTGGCACAGGGATGGGAGGAAGGAATTAGGATTTAATATGAAGAGGAAATAAAAAATAAGCTTACGCACACGGGGAGGACAGAAGAAGACAAAAAGTGCTACAAGGGGGTGTAGCTGGACATCGGGGTCTGGGTGGGATTTTGCACACAATCAGTGAAATGGTATAAGATTTCTTAAGAGTGAGATATTAAGACCCCTTTCTATAGCTGTCTTGCTACTGTCACAGGTTTCCTTTGTCATTCCTCTCCCGCAGCAAACTCCTCGATGAGGTTCACGGAGACCAGCACGCCTACACGCCAGTCCATGTCCACTGTGCCAGAGAAGAGCTCCTCCAGGATCCAGCCCAACAGCTCAAAGGTCCAGCAGACCTGCATGCAAACATATCATCCATGTATTATTATTATTATTATTATTATTATTTTCATAATTATATTTATTATATGTATTTATTATTATCGTCATTGCTGTCTTGTGCGTTGTTTTTTTTACCCTGGTGTTTTTATCAGTAGTGTGTTAGTGTAGCCTGTGTACACCCTTGGGTATTTTACCGCTCATTAGTACGGCAGCTCAGCTTTCCACTAGCATGAACCGGCAGCCATCACACTCCGTATCTGTTCCCTCCATCGCCAGACGACCCACTGCCCCATTTAACAGCTTGCCAGTCATTTCCCCGCTCGCAGTAGACAATATTTGTGGCCAGTTATCGGTCGGGGATATTCCTGGATGACCTTTTGCGTGTTTCTGTCTCCCGTCTCTTTTATAGACTTTAGTTCAGAGCCAAAACTCTTCCAATGTCTTTCCCCAGCCGAGCGTCCCTCATTCTGCTACCGGCAACCAGCCTCCTGTCATGGTTGGTTATTTTCATTAATCACATCCATTAAGCTCGTACTGTATAACCAAATCAGCCGTAGGTGTTCGGAAATTGTTTCAGTGTGCCTCAGGGTTAAAACAAGTTTTGAAAATGAAAGCAATACATATTTGACTAAGATAAATATATGGCGCAGGGTATCTTGGGGTAAGTGCTGTTATTTTGAAGTTATTTTGGAACAAATAGGTTGAATATAAGAGTCTTAAATTTGGACATAAGTGAATATAATTAAGTGGAAGTGGCTAAATTGTATTCAAATATTTGGGAAATATGAATAAAATCTGTTCTTTCAGTCCTTGATTTCAGTTAGAGATTTTTTTTTGCATCTAATGTGTTTTTCTCTCGCAACAGACCATGTACCAGTTGCAGCCGCCGCAGTTGGGCGTCATGAATGAGCTGAAGGAGCAGCTGGAGGAGCGAACGCGCATCTTGCAGGCCGACATCCAGACGCAGCAACAGGAGCTGCATGAGATCAAAGAGCAGCTCCAGCGAGTCAGCAGCTCCAACCTCGAGGTAGGACAGTCACTAGAACAACCACACGGCTGTCATCTTTATGGCCTCGTCCATGTATGGTGTCATAATCTAGGAGAAGCAGATCGTTTGCACGTGAAAGACGGAATGGCGCTGTGGCCAATCAGGATCGTGGACATTTCATTGACTTCGTGGTGACTTGCTTTTCTGAGGAACATAATTCAGGATATCAGTTAGAGCAGCTTTAGGATTCGGTTATAATTTCTTTCGGTTGGTTGATCATTTTTATAGAAAAAAAAGGCAGCGAATCAGAGCCGAGCTTTCAGCTTGAGCTGCGATTCCATTAGCTTGCCGAATCCCTCGCCGGTCCCAGGATCGAGGCTAAACGTTCACAGCTTTCGCTCGACCTTTTTACCCGCCGCCGATCTCCCGCCTCGTAAAGGTGACTTGACAGAGCTCTGGCTGTCCCTGTCCCCAGATGCTCCGGCAGCCCCCCGGCCCCGCGGGTTTCAGCCATCTGCGGCAGGGTCCGGGCAGGCCGGCCAAGCTGCCCCAGGAGGCTGTCGGCAGGCAGCCTTACAGTCAGGCCAAGCAGCCTCCCGTAGGTCAGGAGCACCTTCCGAGCTGCCGTGATACATCGGGCCACTCGCTCAGCTCTCCCTCCACTCAGGTAGACATCCTGCCAGATGGCTGTATTGGTATAACGCCGTAAAGTGCCGTACTAACACGTTACACAAAACAAGGATGCAACGGAAAAAAATTCCAAGCAAGATATAAACATGCAGGAGTTTAGTTACAAAGCATAAGCATCCAAAAATAAACTTATAAAAAATAATGATATAGATCTGCGGGCAGGGGTGGGTCCAGAGAGTGCAAGTCCAGACCAAAGTTTTGTTCCAGCCGACCAGTTGTGTACTCTGTGGACTGTGACTCTTTATACTGGCCTGGACTCTTGCTCTCTGGGTCTGAATTACCCACCTCTGTCTGAGGGTTATTAGCATAACAATGAAAACTAAGACCATGACAGTGAATGATTTAACCTTGGGGGAGCATATAAATGATAAATAAGTGAGGGCCTGAAACAGCCCCGGGGGGGCACCTAGGGTGAGGGGAAACAACAGCAGATCCGTGCTGCTCCAGAGGTAAATGATCGTCTGTCAGTGTGGTAAGAGGTACATGGCTGAATGGTTGGCGAGATGAATGCTATGGCGGTATTGAATACAGAGCCTAAGACCAAGGAGGAGAAGGATGTTGAGGACCTCAGAATTATCAGCAAGAAGAAGGTCATTAACAACCCCCAGGAGAGCTGTGTCAGTGCAGCGAAGAGAGCAAAATCCAGGATACTGCAAGCCTGAAGTAGAGAGAAAAAAACTTTTAAGTAAGATTAGAAGATGGTTTGTAAGACTTCAGCTGATTAGCATCTGAACCAGGTTTCTTGAGATCAGGCTGGAGTGTAAAAATGTTTCAAATCAATGGAACGATGTCAGATACAAGATAATCAGGGCAGTGTGTAGTTCCGCGGATTAAGAGGCTCCGTTAGCGATCTGAGGATCACGTGTTCAAATCACTCTATCGCTGGAATGTTTTTGCCCGTGGTCCCTTGAGCAAGACCCTTAACCGGCAATTACTCCAGGGACTGGAGGGAAGTGTGGCAGGGGTCAGGATGGAGTTGGCAAGAAGATGAGTTAGATTTCATTACTAACTTTGTGGAAGAGCAAAATAGCCAGCAGGAGTAAAGGATGAAGCAAGGTGGGGAGATCGATGTGAAGTTGGTAGGAAGATGAAATCGGCTTTACTGAAGAAACTGATCACATAGCTCATCAAAGAGAAGCTGCACTTACAGGCACAGTGCATTACTAAGAGTGTCTCAGGTGTAGAAGTCTAGCATTAAGGAAACCCCAAAAGAAACAGAGCGAATAGCGGACAGCATGCTCCCACGAGATCAGGACGTTGGTAACAGAGAGCGAGTGTGTTATGTAGCAGGGGGGGTGGGGGGGGGGGGGTCACTGATTCTGTTTCAGAGAAAAAAGAAGGTGTACACATACACTACATTGTTGGAATTGTTTGCTTGGGGGGGGGGACATCCCCCACGAGCTCAGAAGCTTGTCCCTTGTGTCCCGCCCACAGGTGCAGCATCAGCAGCTGATGTGTGTCGCTCAGGGTCAGGCCCCCCGCCTGCCACCCCATACGCACGGCAGCGTGACCGTACCCCTCTACAGCAGCCCCCTGGGGTTCCCCCCGGCAGCGACGCGGCCTGTACAGCTGCCCCTGTCCCTGGCATCCGACGCCAGCCAAAGACTCCCAGACGCGGACTTCAGTCAAAACGGACAGCTGCGGTAGGAATCCCCTGCACTCTGATTGGATGCTGTGTCCTTCAGTGGTTTAGGCCTCTGCGTGATTGGGAGGTCGCCCTTGAGCAAGGCCCTTGGCCCCCATGATGCTCTAGGGGTGCCGTATAAATGCCCCCCCCCCCGCCTTCAGACACCAAGCCTCACTCTCAACTGTTATATATAAATCTGTGGGGCATTATAAGTAAATGCTTTATTTTAAAAGTAAAGTTTTTATTTTACGAAGTTATCTTTAAAAGTGTGTATACAGCTTTGACGACACCTTTCCGCAGCGTTGGATCGGGCGATTTGGCAGCGTTGACTGGCCACCCGACCTGACTCCCGTAAAAAATTTTTTGGGGGGGTGATAAAGGAGAAGGTTTGTGAGAGGAAGCCCCACACAGTGGATGAATTGAAGGAGTTCATCTCGCAAGCATTTGTGGACATTGATGCTAACCGAGAATAGCATGCTAAAGGGTGTACTCATACTTTTGAAAATAACTTTGTGAAATAAAAACTGCATACCTACTTTTGGCCCACGCTCTGTGTGTGTGTGTGTGTGTGTGTGTGTGTGCGTGTGTGTGTGTGCGTGTGTGTGTGTGAGAGAGAGAGACAAAATGAACCACTTAGCTGCTTGGTCGCTAGCCTCCTGCCCATTCTGCATTGCGGTCTATTGTCTGTTAAAGCAGTGCATGATGGGATAAGTGAAAAGAAGCATTCCGGGGTATTTGTACAAATGACAAATAAAACATCATTTCATTGGTGGGTTGTAGTATAATAAAGCTTCTCCATCTTCTGAGCTGAAGGTCATTATTTTTCCTGTAAAGGAGACACACAGGGAAGCGCACATCTGGTTGGTCAGCATGTCTATGCACTGCAGGGAGGAGAGGGTCCTCAGCAGTCTGCTGCAGTATCGCAGGCCTCAGTTCTATATTCTGTTGCCTTGTCAGGCATGTATTTGACAGGAGTTCTCCGTCGTCTTTGCAGGATGCTACTGAACCAGCCGATACAGCCCCTGATGCCAGACAGCGCCGGGACGTCTCAGGCCTCGCAGTACAGCGCAGCCATGCAGCAAACCAAGTAAGGCTGCAAGAACTGGGGCGAACCAGTGAAATGCACTGAAACGAAATCAGTGTCACGGCCCTCAGTATGTATGTGTCTGCTGGTCCATGGCACCACTGTAGCATACAAATGAAAAGTTTCTACCTGCCATACATTTTTGGCTAGTAACTATTAAACTAAAAAGCCTGGATCAGTTTGCAGCCGCAGTCCCACTCATCTTGACAGCCTGGGTCCAATAGTGGACGTGGTATCGAGCATCTTCGAGCTCCTTCATCCTGATTCCCCTTCTCCTCTCTTCCACAATCAGCCTCATGCAGTAAAGGGGTAGAAAAGTAAATCAGGAAGTCTTTGATGGAAAATGTACCAGTCATGTGTCTGTAATCCAGACTGAATTGTAATTATACACTATAACGAATTTATACATTTATTTATTTATGTATTTAGATGTTTAGCAGTATAATGGCAAAAAATAAGTTGATCATAAGAACTTTAGAAATTTACAAACGTGAGGAGGCCATTCAGCCCATCAAGCTCGTTGGAGGAGAACTTAACTAATATCTCAGAGCTGTTAAAATCTTATCTAGCTTTGATTTAATGGAACTCCCCCCCCCCCCCTTCAGGAGAAGCTGGTTTGCCCCACGCCTACAGTCTCTGCCTCCTCCCCCCCCCCACAGATACACGATGGAGCAGCACATCATGGCGTCGTCGCTGCCTGTGCAGCAGATGAACTGCAGCGCCGTCATCGTGCCCTCCCCCGTCTTCACCTCGCCCATCGTCCTGCCCCACAACAGCTTCATGTCGCCCCTGGCTCAGCCCGTCTACCCCCAGCAGCCCCCGCCTTCCCAGCCCTCTCTGCAGCAACACCAGCATCACTTCTTTCAGGTAACCGGCTCTTCTCCGGCCCGGCCGCCGCCAGGAGGCTCTACTCCGCCTCTACTCCGCCCAGACGTGACGGCTTTTTGCTTCCACCCCCGCAGCAGATGCAGGCCCCGGGACTCCTAAGCTGTGCGCAGACGCCGGCCCTCTTCCACACGGCCCACGTGGCTCAGACGGGCACCATGGGATACGTACAGGAACAGCAGCACTGCCATTCGCAGCCGCAGAGCGGCAACCTCTCAGACATGCGGAACATGTAGCCCCCCCCCCCCCTCGGCATTCCAGCGTGGGACGGCAGGATGGCCAATAAATGGCAGAATTCAGAAGGGAACCCCAACGGCAAGCTTCTGGCGCTACGACAGCTTTCAGGCTCCTCGTTAGAACCATGTAGAACCTGTCTGGAGTGGCCTTACTTTGGATAAGGTACTGCCTTATTTAAATTAACTGTATTTTTTCTACTCCACACGTTTCAACTGCTTACAGGCGTTTCCAGAATGGGATCGTGACCTCTAATGACCCTACAGTTCCGTCCGATGGCGAGTATGGAAATGCCGCACCTTTGTGTAACTAAGCACTTACGGAAGAGGCCCATTGCAAAACATTAAAATGGCAAAAACAACGTGCAGGCAACCACTGGGCAATGGGAGCTGCTCATATCGAATTATGCATTTGGCATAAGTGGCTGTTAAGCTGTGATTTTTATGACAGAATACTCCTTAGACAGACAGTAAAACAGAACATCGCTGTTGCTGTGGTGAGAAAGATTGTGGTTGTAGTACCCAAGCGCAAATTCACAGAAGTATCATCAACATCTGTCTGATTAAGCTGAAATCTTGATACTCGCAGTTACAGATGATCAAATTTCTGTTTACAGTGTTATGTGACCATTATATAGAGCACTACAACAAAATCATTCAAGTATAAGACATGAAGCGTCTGATTATTTTGGCTCTAGACCCCTGAGAATCAGTTCAGAACAAAGTACATACAAGTGCGTAAAAATGTATTTCTATACTCAATGTATTACTCACTGAATTTTGATTTCTTAAATTACCTGGACTTATGTTTTATATCAATACGCTGGCAGATTTTTTTCCTCTCTCTTTTTTTTTTAAAGATGAGTACATGTTAGCAGGTGGGCCCAATCCATTAAATCACAAACGTACCCCACCTGACCCAATGTGGTACTGCTTCGACGTCTTATATCTGTGTTGGAGTCGATCCTTAATTAAACATACATTTCTGTTATCCTTGATAATATCCTCTTCTCAGGTAATTTATGAAATCAAAATTCTCTGTTTTAAAATGCATTTTTAATCCCAGCTCGCTGGTTACACCCATGTTTATGTTTTCTGTGTTAATATATTAAGTAATTTTAGGTCACTGCCAGCTAACTAGCGAGTGGTGTGAAGCGTAGATGTAAAGTACTGTATTCAAACATGCTGTGTCCCCTCAATTCATTTGTTGATACTGTAGAGCTCACAGCACTTTCCGTGTCTGATGTTGTACAGCTGGTTTAGATGTAATTATGACACCGTTCATATTTACAGGAACTTGAAATAATCCCAAGAATCTATCCATTCATTCAGTTTCTATATTGTTGTCCAGTTAAGAGCTATAACACCGAACACATTTATATTATATTATATTATTTTATATTATATTATATTATTTATTATTGCTGTCCGATGGGGAAACACTCATCTTCAAAAATGTTCTCAGAAAATGCTTTACAAAATAAATCTAAATAAATCGAAACAACGCAATGAGATAGCCTTAGCCGCACAAATAGAAACCTTTACATGGATGTCGGTGTGAGGTTAATGTTTTAAATGGACTTCAGTGGATTATCAGTGAAATAAATATGTCAGTATCAAAAAAACACAAACTAATCTCACTTTGTTTTCACAATTAATGATGCTAGTTAGCTAGCTATGTAGCTACCAGTGTTAACTTAAAATTGTAAAGTAATCCATATTAATGGCAATTGTGAAGTGTTCACAAGTACAAGTAAATGCTAGTTAAACAGGTGACTAAATAAAACATCTCTTGGTCAATTAAATGTCGGACGCTATCAGTAGACAGAGGAGAACAGGCTTATCCCATCTATAGTAAAAAAAAATAACAATCGTCAATAAGTGGACATGTACGGTTTGCGTCGGACAGCAATGATATTATGTTATATAAGATATGATGTATAACATATACAAGGGTGTCTTGATAGTAATGGCATTTTGAAATTCTCAACGGTAACCCTAGACCATCCCAGGGTAACTGCAATCTGTCATATTCCCCACTTGGCCAAAACGCCCACACGGCACGTTTTAGGCGAGTGACTTGTGACATCGCTGCAGTTTCCCGGTGACTCATGTGCTATTCGCCAACTGTTCCTCCTGCCATATAAATACATGTATATTTCATCCAGATCCTTTATACTGGTACCCAGTGTTTACCATTTAGATATGGCAAAGCACATCTATTTATTTATTTTTTTTAACTTATTTTTTGTGTGTTGTATTTTTGCACCACTTTAGGGGGCTGGGTGGGCAGGGGGGGGGGGTGATCTTATCAGGGATATATACACACATACACATATTGTCAGGAATATCCATTCACCTTCTGTCTGTTTATCCTGGACCCTGTCCCTGGCAGCATAGGCCGTACAACCGGGTGAACCCTGGAAGGGATTCCAGTCCACAACGGGGAACGTACCCATGCACGCCGCAGACAATTCAGAGACACCAGTTTAACTAGCTGCACGTCTTTTGGACTGCTGGATGAAGCCTACGTGGTTCTGGGGTGAACCTTCAGACTCTAGACGACAGGGATTTGAACCCCCGAACCCGGAGGTGCAAGACAACAGTGATAGCTTCCGTGCCCCATGTCGCTATGAATGTTATTCATTAGTTGCTCATTAGTTGCTATTAATGTTATTATTTTCCTTTGAATCACAGTAAAAATGACGTCGCATGTATCTACTCTATCCATAAACAATGGCTAACCTTACTTTCATATCTAAGACGAGAGATCAGTATAGCGTAGATGGGGTCATAATATCAAATATAAAGAAAACAAACACTTTACAGATGGAAAAAGTAGATAGCTATAAAAAATATGTTGGTTATCAAGCAAGTCAACCAATCTACTTCATATAGTGCAATTGTTTGCCACGTAAAATACTGATGTAGAATAAGGTGCAATCGCATGTGTTTCTGGTTGTCACTGTTTGCCTGCACAGTCAGTGTAGGCTTTGCTCTTGGATAATTTGTAGTGATCTCCTGAGGTTTTGTTGCTGTTCCTCTCCTTCGGGGATTCTGTTGGCTGTGGCTCCAGGTTATTGTAATACTGCGTAGGCCAAGTAGCCAGTTGTTCAAAATGACCAAAATTATCTTGTGATGTGCCAATAAAGTATATTGTGAATAGTACAGTGATCCTGTAAATGTTCTAGAGAGAATGTTTATCACACACTGATAAAATCTCATCTACAAATCATTTTGGCAAGTTGTTCCTCGGTGATTACATAGTGTCCCACAAATCAGTGCTGCTCAGCTTAATCCTTGAACAGATGGGAAAAAATTGCAGTGCCAAATCTAATTAAAAAGCACAGATTTCTAAAGATTTCAAAATTTAAAGCTCCTTTGTTTTGGGGGAATAAAGGTAGGTTATCCGCTTGTTATCCGCTTGTTATCCCAAACCCACTACAGAAATTTAGTATGACCAAGTTTCAGTTTTACATGTTGCTTTACCAGAATGTATTCATGCAAATGAATGGATATTTAATAGTCTTTAATATGTTTATTTAAAATGACAATTAAATATTTTATACAGAAAAGCATGAAGCTTTCATTCAGTCACGTACAAAAGTCACTTTCTTCTACAGTAAGTTTAGGTGCTGATATTTTCTGTGTAATAATGCCTTCTGTACATGTGTAATGGAACAGAGAGTAAGTTAATTACATGACATACCATGGAATGTGGGCATAGCAGTTCATCCATCCATCCATCCATCCATCCATCCATCCATCTTCAATTCACTCATCCAGTGTATCCTGCCAGTCTATGTAGTACTGCAGGGTAAAAAACTTTCTTGGAACTTCAACCAATTTCCCCAATGGCATATAAGTAAAATGACACAACTAACATAGTTTGTAGTTACTTATTAATTAAGTCCAATTGCTTGTCAGTATCTATAGAAGTTACCAGTTCTCACTGTAAGTTTTCCTTACAAAGTCCCCATTGTTCTAATATGCATTTTGCATTTGTTTGTGATTTGTGATGCTTACTGTGTGTTTTACAGTATTTCCCTCCCCTTGGATTTGCCTTCAAGGGTCTGTTTTATCCAGTGTTTCCCTTTATGGTCTTACAGTAAACTGTCCTGAATACGTGATCAGTCTTGTCACACAGCCAAACCCTTTGTGTGAATGGAGGCACAATTGACCCGAAATATTAGTTCTGACGATATTCACCATTCCTGCCCATAGAATATTTGTAATGGGTGCTTTTTATTGGGAAACTGTGCTAAATCAGAGAGAAGTGAGAACGTGGGAACCACACTTATGGAATACTTGATCAGCCCTTGAGGATTTAGTCACCTTAAAGGTCATCGCTTTTGGACTGAACTAAGTCAGTGGTCACCCGATTCTCCCCAACCTCCATTCTGTCCTATGGGATTGTCATAATGGAGGAGAAATTATAGTGACACATACTATTGCAAAGTATGATTATATTAAATTGTGTGGTACAGAACAACAGTGTTTCTGCATAACTGTTGCAAAACAAATTTGAAAGTAAATTGTAGATATTGTTTTATATGATGTAAAAAAATATATATTTAGAAGTGATTTATCTTATATGATGTCATATAAAAAGAAATGCATTTGTAAATGTTCTATGATTTAAAGTAAAATGTATTTTGTAACAAAATGATTGAAGTGTCTTATTGGGGGAGCTGCAGGTTTTGTTGCTGTCGCAGTTTTAATGAACGGTGATGTTTGGCTTGTTTTTCACTGTACAGGTACTATTAGAATAAGCTTTAACATATTGTTTTAAAATATGCTGAGAAAATAAAGAGTTTACGTTCTGAAGCTGTTTGGATATTACTTTTGTGACAGTAATATTTTAATTGTTTAAATATTTTAATATTTTTAATAAATATTTTATTTAAAAGAGGTGGTGCCACTTATTTCTTCATAAAGTCACATGTTTGGATTCAGGAATCAGGGGCCCTTCATCCATTGTCTGTAACCAATTTACCATGAGTAGGACAAGCGATTTGTTTTCCCCAGCTAACCTGAGGATGTTTTTGGATTGTGTGGGGGAATCCAGAGTCCCCAAGGGAAACCCCATGATGACACACAGAGCCGTGAACCTTGGTCCCTGGGGTGTGAGGCACTAGTGCTCGCTAACTAATGTGCCACTCCTATGAAGAGCCATATATATAATATTTTTCCATGGGATAGCAGCCAGTCACTTGAGCAAAGTGTCCTCATTGGAAATAGATTTATTAAAAAGTGATTTCCACCATTACACCATTAACATGACCACTCGGTAAGTTTTTGACAGCGTGGAGATGGTCAGGCTGTTGCACTTTACTCTGCCTGTGCTCCTTGCATAAACCGAGTTGCAGATGGGCTCTGCGCTCAGCGGTCTGGTGTTGATGTCCAGCTCGGTTAAATCCTCTTCAGATTGTGTTTATTGGCTTGCTTGCTGATGACCCGTTGCTGAGTAATGACAGCCCGTCGTCATTCTTCTGATTCACCCTCAGTCCGAATAAACACACACTCCTACCCAGCCCAAACCTTAACCATGTGTAACCAAACAAATGCAATGCAGTCACAGATTTTTATAAAGTTGAGTTTTGCTTTGTGAAGACCAAAAAAATGTTGCCAAAAGCGTCAAAATAACAGGTTTTTATCACATTATGGGGACATTTGGCAATACATAACCCATACACACAGACAGATACACGGAAAAAAAACACCCATGTTCTTATCGCTACTGAAAAACCTAGTACTGTGTTATCCGCTGGAAGCCAGCAGAGGGCAGCATACTGTTATATATTTTCTAAATTTTTCTCATCCTGATGATATTCATATAAAAGAGGAAAAGACTAATCTTGCGCTTTCTTTGTAAAACGGCGGATACGCTATCTGATGGATTTTAGCGTGTTTAGCTTGAGTTATGTACTATTTGCCAAAAATCTTACGACGGCAATTTTGTTCTTGGTGGATCGCGTTTAAGACGACTGAACCGAGTACAGTTTTATAATATCCAATTTAGCGTTACCAGCGAATCAGGTATTAGTCTTAATCATCTGCATATGATTGCCAGTTACCTCTTTGAAGTACAAATGTCAACACCTAGCTTTTCTTTCCACCGATCGAGCGGGCTTGTTGCATAACGGTGCCAGCCTCACCCCTTTCACTGGCTGGTAACATGATACCGCGGCCCCCGAGTAACAGGAGTCGCCCATACGCGCAGTGACAGAGGAGATAAAGACGCCACTGCAGCCCTCTGCTGCTAGCTAAAGTGGTGAAAACAGGATATCCACCAGTGCTGCCTGAACACTGGCCACATCCCACCTCCACTGGCCACATCTGCTCCTGTTTGTTCAACAACAACAAAAAAAGTCTCAGCTAATGGTAAAATCAATAATACTTCTGTGCGATTAGCAAATGTTAGCCCCATTGCACGTTTTTTAAATACCACTAATTTTAGTGATAGATTTTAAAATAGTATGTCAGTATTTTAAAATTATTTTTGTATTATTCTAGGGGAAAATTAAGCATTTTAAATGTTCAATTTAATTTCTTTGTTCATTTGATTTCATTGTAATAATACTCCACTCCCCAAAACTCAAATCTAACTTTCAATTTGTATTATGTTGTATCCTACAGTTAGAGATGTAGCTGTTTGTTCTTTTTGAGTTAATATAACGATGACCGTGCTGTGCTTTTCTTACAAATCCTTCTTAACTTTCATGCCATGTATGTAATTTCTGAAAAGTAGCTCACTATACAGAGAAAAGAATACTCATTAGAAATCACAAAAAATGCCAGAAATTAAAGATTACATTGTTGACACCAATGACACGGGCCACTTCTTACACAATATGACAATAATGGTACATTTATTGCCAAACAATATAAAATAATATTATATATTACAACCCCGTTTCCAAAACAAAAGTTGGGATGCTGTGTAAAATTAAAATAAAAACAGAATGCAGTGATTTACAAATCATATAAGCCCATATTTAATTGACAAAAAAATAAAGACAACATATCAAATGTTGAAACTGGGAAATGTTATTTTTTATGACAAATATATGCTCATTTTGAATTTGATGTCAGCAACACGGATCGAAAAAGTTGGATCAGGCTAACAAAAGACTGGAAAAGTTGTGTACTGCTAAAAAAAACACCTGGTTAAATATCTCACAGCTAACTAGGTTAATTGGTAGCAACAATAGTGCAACAATTTAAGAATAATGTTCCTCAACAGAATATTGCAAAGAATTTTGGAATTTCATCATCTACAGTATATAATATCATTAAGAGATTCAAAGATTCAGGTGGCACTGCATTTAATGCAGGCATGATTCTATAGTGGAAGTCACTACATGGGCTCAGAAACTGAGAACATAATGTACAGATTATACTGACAACATGTCACTTTTCATTTTATGATCCGTTTAACAAGGAATTTAAATCTTGTTATTAATGAAACAATAACTGTTTGACTAAGTCAGTATGGCATCAAAAGTAAAATCTCATTAATTTCCGTTATTGCGAAGTGCCTTATATTGGACACAATGCATGGGAATGTTCAAAACAATTCACTTGTAGCAGTTATCACTACCGCACAAGTTACTGTATTTCACACCCTCTCTTGTACGGGAGCCAAATTAAAACATGCAACCTTGAAACTCCAGACCCAGATATGGGAAACAGGAAGCAGGAAGAAGAGACCTGAACCATAGAACAATGAGAAAATAGTATGACTCTTCTCACACATTTCATGAACTTCTTTAAACGGCGATTCTCCATGCGGTGATGTGACGATGTTCCTCATAACCTGACCTAATGCAGCCCCATCTCCAGGAAAGGGAAGGGGCTTGGTGGCTGCCTAGCCTAGGCCTGTGAAAATGGATTAAGCTGTGTCCCACCACAGGATCTGTAATATTGTGATCTGTAAAAGTAACGTAGTAACCCGACTGTGGCAACGACTTTGTTCTGCTGGTGACCTGGTAGTCATAATACGATTTGGCCAAAAAAAAGTTCCTATTTGAATTTAAATGGGCAAATACTTAAAAGCCAATGACTGGATCATTATTACAGCTCAGCAACATTTTGCAGCAATAAAGTGAAGTCAGCTGAGCACCTGAATCTCCTGAATGACCAGGCTATCCCACAGATGTTTTCTGCCCTGTTGGCAGGGGTATATTCCAGGACGATAATGCCAAGATTCATTGGGCTCAAATTGTCAAAGAGTGGTTCAGGGAGCATTGGGAATCGTTTTCACACATGAATTGGCCACCACAGAGTCTTGACCTTAACCCCATTGAAAGTCTTAGAGATGTGCTGAAGAAGATTTTACCGAGTGGCTCTACTCACCTGCCATTAATACAAGATCTTGACAAGAAATGAAATCTGCATGAAAAAATATTGATATGATATGATGTGATGTGATGTGATGTGATATGATATATGAGCTGTTGGCTGATAGTTGTGACTGGCAATATGAGCAGGATCATTCAGTTCCTGCAGTTTATCTTGAGTTGAATATCTCTTTCCAGATACTAAGTACCATTTTCCCATAAATCCTTGGTATTATGACATGGCAAAGGACATCTTCTATTAGTCTGGTCAGCCCTAACCTGGGATATATACTTCTTGAAAGATGTGTACTGCACACAGTCAGTTGGTCCACTGTGACACAAGTTTCCTGCCATAATGAAACCTTTCCTGGCTCATCACAACCATCGGCTTTCCCACAGGATGTGGCTGAATTCAGACGGGCAGCCGCATTTCTGCCCTTCCGAGTTTTACATCTCTGTGTTCTTCAACACGGTATAAATGAACAGTGTGTTTAGGACCTCAAGCTCTCCTGAAGTACAAAACAATGTCCGAAGTAAGAAATATTTAAATATATGGGTAAATTGTATGTTCTTCATAAATAAATGTTATTCTTTCTTGAGGCTGTGGTGGATCTCCTGTTAAAGGGAAATGGTTTCTCTAATGTATTTGGCCATGATTCGTTAACAGACAATAGACCACAATGCAGAAAGGGCAGGAGGCTAGCGACCAAGCAGCTAATTGGTTAATTTTGTCTCACACACGCACACACATAGTCGTATAATCATATCTTTTTGGGGACCGCTCGTTCATTTCTATGAGAAAAATGCTGATGCTAACTGCTAACTTTGACAACTTTAACCCCTACTCAGCCCTAACCATAACCATAAGTAACCAAGCAAGATACAAGAGTTTTCGCATTTTTAGTTTTTTCATTGCCGTCACGAATTTTTATAAAATACAGTCTATATGGAGAACAGGTAATTCATCCCCATAAGGTAAGAAACAGGTATTCATCACGTTGTGGGGGCATTTGGTCCCCACAAGGTAAGGTTTACCTGGACCACACACACACACACACACACAGGATAGATGTGTCTGCTTCTTCTACATCAGCATGGCATATAAAAACACCTAAAATATTTGAGAAAAATATGTTTTAATATTGTCGGGTTTGTTAAATACCAGTTTTTTACAATATGTATTAATGACATAGGTTGAATGGTGTCCAAAACTAGGCATAGAGCAGGACAAGACTTATGCAGCATGTTATGATTAACGTGTGGGTTGGGTAGCATGTTAATTAACGATGGAGATAAAACAACACATTATTTACGAAGGGTTTGAGAAACAATCTTCCCTGTGGTTTGGAAATGGCAATTTCCTCTAAAAATATCAGCACAGCCTCCAGCATTAACTGACCTCGTGTGTTATGCTCAAAGAAACTGGTTGTAGCTTTCAGATAACTACACATGACAAGACATCAGATCTTCAGGTCTTGTTTGGTCTTATTGTTGCTTTGCTTGTTGGATTGGCAGGATGTTTGCTGATTCTCTATCGTCAAATCTGACCCTGACCTTGAATGACCTATTAAGTTATTTGCCTCATGATTGTGATCCCACTCCATGGCTAAATTGTCCCTGTTTTGCTGGTTTGCTATTTTGCTGCTGTACGAATGAGAAATGGACCCTGCCCCGGTCACAGGAAAACGGCTAGTACCGGATTTACGTAACTGCTGCACGGACTGATATTCAGGGTATTCGGTATAACTGGGCAAAAATGGTACGGCAATTTTTTCTTGGGATTTAGATACAGGGTTGACTTCAGGCTGAGCTGTTCTGTGCTTCTGTCTGTGCCAGCACTTGGTGACGCACAAGTGAAATATCTCCATGAGGTTCAGCAGCAGTGAGATGCAGGCCACCACCAACATGAACTGGATGAAGATGGTCTTCTCGGTGGGCCGTGAGATGTAGCAGTTAACTGGCTGGGGGCAAGGGGACTCCTTGCAGACGTAGACAGGCTTGAGTTTGAAGTCATAGAGGAGATATTGGCCCACGATGAATCCAACCTCGAAGATGGTCTTGAAGACAATGTTGAAAACGTATGTGCGCAAGATGGTCCCTTGCAGGCGGATCTCGCCAAGTTCATTGCGGACGACGACCGCTTTCGTCTTTTCCTCCGGCAGTAAAGGCTGTTTGTCGCCCGCACGAAACCTCTGCTCTTGCTTTCGCCTTTTCTTCTCCTCCACGCGCATCAGGTGCAGGATGTGGCCCAAGTAGATGAGTGTCGGCGTGGAGACGAAGATGATCTGGAGCACCCAGAAGCGGACGTGAGAGATGGGGAAGGTGTAATCGTAGCAGACATTTTGGCAGCCAGGCTGCTTGGTGTCGCAGCTGAAGCCCGATTGCTCGTCTCCCCACACCCTCTCAGCCGCGGTTCCCAGGATAAGGATGCGAAAGATGAAGAGCACGGTCAGCCAGACCTTGCCCACCACGGTGGAGTGTGTCTGGGCGCTCTCCAACAGCCTTCCAAGTAGGTTCCAGTCTCCCATCAATGCCTGTCCACAGACCAAGCACTGCACAGAAACACAAGGCAGCGACCTTAACTAACGATAACAAGGCTATATTTTTTTATAAGTAACAAATATTCTCATTATTTAATTAAAATAAGCATTAAAGCATAATTTATACATGATATGGGGTTTGAGACTGTAGCATTATGTTTTTTACATTTATCCACTTTACTTGAAGCTGTCATCTATAATGCACTATAGATATAGCTTCATAATGCATTATAATGCATTATAATAATAATCGATACTTTATTGATCCCCGTGGGGAAATTCTCTTTACGCCTCCTCCAACTTGCTCTTTGAAGAGTAAGTTGTCCGCGAAGGGCAGCCACCTGTTGGGGCACCCAGGGAGCTGGGGGTTAAGGGCCTTGCTTAAGGACCCGCAGACGTGCTGAGGCTGGGTTCGAACCGGGGCCCCTCTGAACACAGGCACACAGGCTTAGCCCACTGATTGTTGGTATAAGAATTAATAAAGTGTTACAGTGTTTTCTATTGATGGTCATAAGGCATTATTGTGCTGATTATAATACTTCTTAAGCTCCAATGAAGCTCTCATCTATAATGCATATAATGGTCGGTATAAGAATTAAGGGTGCATTGTACGGTGTTATGAAGGTATCAATAGTGCATTAAAGATGAGAGCTTCATAAATCATTCATCATGTATAATAAATATGGCCATAATGTGCTTTTTGAATGTATTATAATGTGTTATGAATGTGTTCATTCATATATGATTCTTATAGACATGGAATTCATAGAAAGTGTTACCAACACCGGTAACTCAATATCAGCTGAACTACAGCCGATTTCTTCACTTGTATCTTCTTCCCTTTCTTCACATCGTCGAATTGCCAAATATCGATCACTTCAGAGTTTCCAGCTCTCAAGCATTAATTTCAACATTTACAATTTGACCAACCATCAGAAACACGGGGAAACCTGATGGTGCCGAACTCTGCAGTTGGTCTTCTCAGCGCTGGCATGTTTTTGATCATGATAGTTTTCTCGCAGCTGCCTGAGACATGAGACATGACTCTGCTAAATTTCTTACTCAGTTCTGTTCACAACCTTTTCCCTGTACTACACTACATGTGTGCCTGTGTGTTAGCCTTTCCCCAGCCGTTTAGTTTCCAAGGAAAACAAGTTTAATCCACTCATTCAATTTTTGACCTTCTGCTTTTACAATATTACAGTTTTGTGTGTGTCTTCAATTAGTACCAAGGGACATAAGAAGGGAAACATCTTAATTTTCTGCAATAGATGCCCGTGAGCCGGAGAGGGGCATGCAAGTCAGCGCCTTCTGTTTCCCTTCATGCCGTATTTATCTTCCTGCTTACTGTTTTCAGGAAGTTTTAGCACATGAAATTGTTCCCCGGCAGACTAATCAGTTAGAAGCCGGGATGGGTACCCTTTCATCAGTTATCTTAGGCGTGTCTAGTCTCAACATACGCCAAATACATTGATTATTTTGAGTTGCTAATCCAGGCGCAGTGTATGAAGAGGTTATGATTCATTGTGCCCAGCAGAGCAGCAGAACAGAGGAAGTCGTCTCTTGTTTTACTCATTATGTTTAACTGGCACTTTAAAGACCAGAGCAGGATATGAATGTCTTTGGTGGAAACTCAGCATTGTCTTTCTGAACATCACAACGCGTCAAAGGAAGACCTGTTTCCATTGAGTCCCAAGATACTTCTGCCTTTTGTCTACCTTTCAACCTTTTCATGCCACATATAATGTACTATTGAAGATTTAATTACTGTTTTGTGATATATTTTTATGTTGCACCCACAGTTCATAATTCAAGCAGACCAGCAACATCTCGTATATTTAAAGTGGTAGTTAGTGATGGCTAGTATAGATATGGATGATTATTGCTATCAGACACAGGTAGAGTGGACTGTGTTTGTTTTTGTATAACCTGTTTTAGACAGGGTATGTGAGTGGCAGTCACATAGCAGAAAGTGCACGATTACTGGAGCTCTCTGCTCTATCCAAAAGGGTCACACAGATTAAAACTGAACTGAACCTTATCTGTGATGTCAGCTAGGTGGGCATTCTGTGCGGATGTCTCACTGGCACTGCCGCCTGTGCCCTGTGCCTGAATCAGGAGCGTAGGAACTGGGGGGAATGTTTACGCTCCAATATTACCCCCCATAAATAGACCTTTGCCTTTAATATATGTTGTGGTCGCCCAGTATCAAATTCTCTTGTGTCACTGGTCAGAGTCACCTGTAAAACTACCTTCATCCAGAACAAAAAGCTTTTGCGTGCAGCAACAGATAGCAGAAAACATTAACAGTAATCACAATAATCATATGGACATACTGTATTTAAAGGGGTGAATGTTTCATTGTGACTTAAGCGACAGGTAGGTGTTCCATTGAATGGTCAGCTTTATAGTGGTAAACTGATGTAACGTAAACTGAATGGCAGTGTTATATTTTATGTACACAATACCGTGCAATACATTTAGGCAGTTTATGAAAATGATGTTCAAATGATCTTCATGTTGGTGTAAAACTATGATATTATGTCTGTCAAATTGTGTCAGTTTAGCCATTTCCTCTCCTAAAGTCACCCCAGTATGTAAAGCAACCATCCAATACACCCAACGTGTTTTTTGACTTGACCAGTACCCAACCTCATATGACTAAGCAATAACTTATTCACTTTTTAAAACTATTTCGATTAATTAATTAATTGAGCTGGATGTGAAATTTAACGAATTCGTGGAATGGCTGAGGTGCCCCTGAGGAGAGGTTTGGGAACTGAAGCAGCGTTCATCTAGCCATCCAACAAGATACCGGTAAATTTTTGGCGAGCGGAGAAAATTCTTGTCAGTTTTTCTTGTGTTACTCTTAATTTTCATATGTTCTAATGTTTAAATTGCGTTTTTTGTTCTGAGAAAATAAACCCTTATTACCCAGATAAATAGATAAACAGAATAGGAAATAGAAACAAACATTTCCTTTGACTGCCTAAGACCTTTGCACAATACTACACGTATGTGTGTATATACATATATATACACACACACACATACACACACAGACTATATATGTTCTAGGCAAGTATATACATACTTTATATAATTTATTAAAGGTTATTTCTATATTATTCAGAAACATAGCAAAAAATGGTCAAGTTTGTGGACAAAAAAGTTTTGAAGACATTAAAGTCACTAAGCATTGTATGTATCCCTTACGTATGATTTTGATGTATCAGTTATTAAATTCAGAAAACAGCCACTTGCTGCACACATTCTCTAACGAGAATGGCACAGAAGAATCAGAGACAGAAAGCACAATGCGGCAGAGCAGAACCCACCTGGTCAGCATCAGCATTACTGATAAGGATCTTCTTGAAACCACAGTCAATCCAAGCAGACTGATGAGAGGAACCTTAATGCATCTTCTAATTGTAATATTATAATATTATAAACATCTGTTATAGTAAATCTGAGTATATATTCTTCTGTGCTCTTTCTAACATAACACAACAGCCATTCAAATAGCCTAGTCTTCAATTTCACGTAGCCTTAATGCCGCTGAAACACCACTCAAGAAAGTTAGCTTCCCTTCTTCCTCTTAAATCCAGAGACTTGACGCTCCCTCTTGTCCGTCTTTACTCATCCCGCCCACCATCTGTGAACTGACAGCCAAACCGTCCTATCAGTGACGGGCACACAAACGAACGAGAACCTGCGCGGCTCCTCTGTCGTCAATGTTACAGAAATGATAGGAAACAACTGGTGGATCTGAAGGAAGATAAACAGGCAACACGTTTGAGGAAAAGGAAACACTCCATGGCTGTGGGGCTGGTTAATTTCACAGCCCAACACATCTCCAAGAAATATTTCCTGAAAGCATATGCTGCTTAATCAATGATAAGTCTGCTCTGTGTAGCCAGATCGACCTGAAATCACTGCTAAGTTACTCGTCACAGAAGAAATTAACTAGCTTGTCCAATATGCTGTTAAACTTACTGTAAGATGAAATTGATGCTGCCTGACACTGAAAACCTCAACATGCACTGAAGGTTTTAGGGCTGTTGGCTTCAGGTTACACTGATTGGGGAGTAAAATGAGTTAGAGAGTATCGAGGCACATACCTATTCTACGTCCACATACTGTAGTACATTTTTAGGGCAATCAAACACAGGCCAGAAGAATAAGATTTTCCAAATCAGAAATTATAAATGACTTTGTTTTGTAACATGAATAAACATGGACATGGATTTGGTAGGGGAGCAGTAAAACAAACAGCTGACACGTCCAAAGTGTTACTTTTACATGAAGGAAGATTGTCTGCCCCCTAGTGGCCGCAGAAAAAGCTGCACTAAGTAAATGAAAGGCCGCTGAACCTGTTACAACACACTTCTATCTTTTTGCAGGGTCAGTGTTAACATAGTTCCATTGAATTTGACAGCAGACAACAGCCAAGGTGTAGTTCAATAACATTTAATATTATTAATTAATAAACAATCACAATTTGTATGCCATATGTAAGAGACAGTACTTTTAGATTTGAGAAAAATTCAGCACTCTTTTTGCATTTATAATTGAATGTAAGAGATTAATTTTAATCAGCAGCCATTAGCAAATGTATATTTTTGGTACTGGCAGTCTTAACAATCAAAATGTCATTTAATTTAGATATGTCTTATGTAACACATTATCAATGAAATATACATATCTTCTTTACAACATTGTTTTGATAATATAGTATTATTCATGCATCTAGTTCTGTACAGTAAAAGTATATTCCAGATTTTAAGACCCATTTGCAGTCTTGTGATAAGCTTTGGTTGCAGCTTATAATTAGTACATTCTTCATTTACTAGTTTAACCACCAACAATACAATTCACCTGTTAAAAACTAAATCGTATGTGTGCATTTGAAGCAAATAAAGAAAAAAGGGGCAAAAATATCAATAGAAAAAAACAGAGAAGGTACACAATGAAACTTCAGCTGGTTCGGTCAAATACGTGTTAACCACTTGAAAAACAACAAACGTGTTATGCATCTTATCAACATGCAAAAGTTGTATACGGCAACGACTCAGTCATGCCCCTCCTGTTCTATAATTCTCCTGAGTTCATCTGGTTAGCGAAGCTGACATGAACAGTGAAGCGCCAGGGCGAGTGGATGGAGTCGCTTTACACTTAAAATGTCTCCGGCAGCCACAGTCGAGAGAAACCTGGACTTCGAGTTTTGAGGGAGCAAGTTCATAGTGACAGTATCACATCAGGTTTACACAGGATTCTTCGGTTTTTCTCGATACGGTGCATGGCCTTAATGAGATTCACATATGTCGAAATAAAAATCATGATTTGAGAAATGAATGCATACAATTTTCACAAGTACATTATTTAAAAGGGGGATGCATTACCTAAGCAAATTATTTCATAATGTGGTCATTATGACGTTATGTTCCTGCCTTGGAGGAAACCTGAGAAAATCGGTCCAGCACAGTCCTGCTCCTGATATCTCTCCAAGGGTTGGTTATCTCGTCATCTCATTAATGTAAAATATTGTACAGACACAAACAATGCGCAGTTAAAATAGTCCGTTGGAGCAATGGTCCACGCTGTCGATTTTCACCCATCCATAAGAAGGTTGCTTCTTGAAATCCTCTATAACAAAACGTAACTCTTGCTCCAGTGAGTTAAGGTTTGAATGGTCCTTTATAGAATCTCGACCCAGGAATTAGCAGCATCGGTTCTGTTTGCACCAGGAAACTCTTCTTTCCCCATGCAACTGTAATTTCAGTTGCACATTTAATTCATTTTCATGGTCTTTTATTTTTATCGGTATTATCAGAAAATGCATCTTCCAGTATTTTAATATATTCAAACTGTATATTGATATGGTTACTGTGTTCCTTCAATGCAATGGATGAATGAATGCGATTATTGGCATGTTGAGCCATGACTGATGTAGAGAGCTTGTTAAACATCGTTAAGAAGGCAGCCTTTCTAAAAAGCTGAACACCTTTCTCCTTTTTCCACTGGGTTCTTTCGGGTATCCTTGAATTTGGACCTGAAAGAATGGTCTGCAATGAGCTGATTGATCTCATTCTGCTTGAGAGAGGAAAGTTTTTGAGTAATCCAAGGTGCCTTTGAGGTTCCATCAGAACCATGGACGTGCCTGGCACAAGCCTTGCCCACCAAGTAGAGTACCTCAGCGATGTTGAGCAGGATGCAGACCCCAGACACAGCCAGCATGAAGATGGTGAAAATGGTCTTCTCTGTAGGCCGGGATACAAAGCAGTCCACCGTGTTGGGGCAGGGGTAGGAGTCGCATTTGACCAGTCGTATCATCTTGTAGCCGGGGTAGATCACGTAGAAGATGTACATGAAGGCCACCTCGATGATTATGCGGAAAACGATGCTGACCACATAGGTCCACCACAAGGCTCCGATGAGCTTGAACTTCTGGTTCTTGATCTGTTCCAGGTCCTTGGGGCTTCCCCGCCCCGACATCTTGAGGACCTTCTTGTCGACATGGCGACGGTGTGCCACATGCATGGCCACCAGCAGGGCGGGGGTGGAAACCAGGATGAGCTGCAGGGCCCAGAGTCGGATGTGGGAGATGGGGAAGAACTGGTCGTAGCAGACGCTGTTGCAGCCGGGCTGTTGGGTGTTGCAGGTGAAGCCTGACTTTTCATCTCCCCACACACTTTCTGCCGCCACGACAAGGACCAGTATGCGGAAGATGGAGAGGACGGACAGCCAGATGCGACCGATGCCAGTCGAATGTCTGTTTACACCGCTTATAATGGCATAAAAGGATGCCCAATTCATTTTGGTTCCGTATCTGAAAAAGAGTGAGAAACAGTTAAAAAATAATCTATACTTCAACAAAAGCCTCAATTCTATCATCATATTAATAACTGGGGCTTTAATTTTACTTCATACAGACACACCTACTTGCACGCCAATTTCATGGAAAAATAACTGAAACAAAGTTATTAAAGGATACATAACAGCAACAAAATCTAAAAGTTAACAAAGCCACAAAATCTAAATTTATGACTTCCCAATGACATTGTATGAAACAATGAATCTCGCTGCCCAGAACTGCAAAACCTTTAAAGTGAAAAGGAGTTACTTACAATCTTTAGTACTCTGTATTCCGTGGTTATGTATTCAGTCCATCAACTTAATTAATCCCATAATCGCAGAACGTTTTGATGAAAACTGCTCCATTTTTCTTCTCAAAGGGACGCCACCGTATTTCTTGCTTAGATTACCAGGCTAAGCAGCAGGTGTTATTAATATCAGTAACTGCCAGCTGTGCAGGCTTCATTGATCCCCCGGCACAGCATGAACACAAAGCTGCATTCAGGAGGAGAGCTCAGTAAGAAATCTCCGGTTCTGCACACACTGCTTAAGAGAGAAAGTTGATGGTCACACACCACACATGGGTCACCCGACCAACTGCACTCGGGCCAATGGCAGAGGTGTAACTGGGCCATGTGACCGCCATGTAACACGCCTCCTTCGGGTTACCGAAATGTTGAGGCTTTCACAGAGTTTAGTACATACCATGTATTCTTCATGGTCCAAAACACAGCCGTTAGGTCTTGTCTTTGGTATAGAATAATGGATCTGTAAGGTCTCCCACTTGGTGTAGGTGCCTCAGCACTGATCTACCTTAGTCTCCTGGAGGACTCTGAAATAAAGATGTTCATGTAGTTCTGTTACCATAAGACAGATAACAGAAATTCCAAATTGGTGTTTCATTATTTCAATATTGCCTCATTTCATTATCTCTATCTGCATTTTTTGCATCAGACAAGACAAAGATATTTTCTGGTCAATGAACAGTTATTTAGCATCCAAAAGAAATTGTGAAACATATGGTGATATGTTCCCAAAGGTCCTGCTGGCGATCTCCACAGCTAACAAGGAACGCCGCAATGACAAGGTGGCAATGTGTAAACACAAAGTCTTACTTGCTATGTTTTTTTGTTTGTACCTCAGAATCTATTGCGACAAGTCATCATTAAGACCTACTTTATTAGGGGCCAAACACTGAAGGTGTGTAGGCACCTATTCGAATTGTTAGTATTTTTCACTATTATTATTATTATTATTATATTCTGCCATGGGAGTCTATGGCAATCCATATAACCGACTGATAACTTTTTTAAAAATTTGGCTCATCGATAGAGGACAGTTCAACCTATTCAGACACCAAATCTGATCAACAGATTAACAAATTAAAGCCCAATCAGCTGATAAACCAACATGATCACTGATATCTTAGTACAATAAATGGCCCAACTACCAGAATGTTAAAAAAATATATATATACGCGAACTAAATATATTTACCTTCAGTTGAAGTGATGTACAAACATGTCCAGAAATTACCGTACTATGAATTACTTTTATTACTCTAAGCTGATTTATTTATTTCTTTTCTACTGAAAGGATTAGTTGAATAGAACACCATGCCTTTGAAAATTGCAAATGAATCCCCTGACACTAGCCGCTGCCCTGCACTGTAGAAGTCATATGCCCTTATATAAACTATTTACATACAATGGGGGCCTTCATTGTGCCAAACAAGACTCTTTACAATTCAGATCAAACGCCTCAATTTCCGCCTACCCTCAGCAAAAGAATGAATCTGTGTGGACACAAAAAAGCTTTTCCTGCATTATTTATTGTGGCGGACAGGGCAAGTGAATGGTGTTTCTGACATGAGTCAGGATCTAAGAAAATTATCCAGAAATTGATAATGCTGCACTGCTTTTTGGTGGTGTCATAGTACAGGATTCGTGGAATACAATGCCACTATATGAACTATGTTCATGTAACATTAAGTGGTGTATGTTTGTGAGAATTTACAAGAACAAAGAAATAATATACACGTGTGCTTATACTGAGCAAAAAATGCATAATTCTGCCTTTGATCAAACTTTTTTCTTAAATATTTAAATCAAATCTGTTTGCACTGAGAATAAACACAATCTGTCATAGTTTTTCTGTATATTTTTTTATTTACAGAGCACAATACAACTGGTTACTGCTATCACTACTGAAAAACATCTACTTATCTATAAATCTATTAAATGGTTTTACTGATACCATTATTGAAAAACATCTATCAATCTATCAAAACGTGTCAATTTTGGGTGTTTCTCAAGATCACAGAACAGCATAGAAATAGACTCGGTTTGTCTTGACAAAGTGAATTGCCATCTGGTTAGAAAAATAAATGGACTATTTCAAGGTCCAGAATTGAATTGCATATTGAAATATCACACGGCAGAAATGCGTCAGACTATCATAATGGTCCTTAAATCTAACATGAGAGTAGGGAGGGAAGCATTCAAAACTGTGATGACAGCCTCTCTCTCTGACGTCCATATTGTGGGCTGCAGATCTCTGCTGCAGATCAGAAGGTCAGTTCCCGGAGCTCCAAACGTAACGTCGTTGTGCTGTTGAGTCACTCGCTAGGTTTTTGATCCAGTAAAAAGTTCCAGTGACCTCGAGCATGCATCCAGACTGGTATGTAATGTCAGTTATCCATCCTCCTCGTGCACTGCCGAGTTTATTCAAGAGTGCAGCTCTGCCACCCCCATTTGGGAAAAAATTAAACAAAGATTTACAGTTTGCGGCAAACACATGGTGCAACTACAGGGGGGGAAAAAAAGGAAAAAGGCACAAGGCGGCCATTTGTTTGCTGTGCTTTTCGACAGCTTTGCGATAAACAGAACCTGCGTTGTGGTTTCTGGTGTCTTAAGACAAAAAGGATCCATAGCCCTGTTTTACTCAAATAAAGCCAACAGCAACTTTTATCTGGACTTTATATTTGTTACATGATACATTTTAACAAAAATGCCCCAAGAGGAAAAAGGAGTCTTTAGGTTTGACTGTGTTTACCACAAAACTGATAAACGTTGCAAACCCAATAAAATGACAACAGCAGCTTGTTCAGTAATGACTAGGGACACTTGGCCAGCTTAGCTTTTACTGTAACTATGGAGCCTTAAAGTCAGAACAAATAAGAACAAGTTTATTATCACCAGAAAAGTACTGAAAATTTTCTCAGCAGATTCCTGAAAGTTTGCATGACTCCCAGTTTACGTCGTAAAATAGCTATTTGACATTTTGGTGGATTTTCCAGGAAACACAAGGACTATTCTCTAAGCAAGACACTGTAAAGATTTTGATAGAAATATTTTATATGGCTGCAATGAAGATAGACAAGAAATTAGCCATAACACTTGATTGAATTTAAACTTAAAAACTGGGTACACTTCTAAGGTAGATCATGCTTACTTGTCACACTGAAGCAGTACAGTGCTGTGTGTGCGCAGTTGATTTTAAATAAATTTATGCTGTTTGATAATATGCCGTCTGCTTTGTATTTTTGGTTTTTATTTTTTTTGTCTTTTTGTTGAAGGACTGGAAGCCAAACTGTGAGAGAATTACTGATCTTCATAAAGTAATTTATAAAGATCCCATGACCATGATTATAAATGGCAAAAATTGCACACACACACATATATATATCAGCAAATATATACATATATATGCATATTTATATATACACACACACAGCCAAACAAAAATGAAACCACTACACCACACTACGCTAAACTAAAAAACAACAAACTAGCGAGCAATGTCCAATGAAAATGATATCATCGACTTCCTATAATGGCAATATAAAAACACAAATGTGGTTGTTCTGTTCAAAGCAGCTAATTATCAGTGTAGACACATTCTAGGAAAGAATGACTCAGAATCACATATTTTTATTTTGAAGCCCAGTTTCAATGTTTGTTTGTTTAATTTGTGAAAACAGTCATTCTCTAGTTTACTGAAGGTAATTTTTAGCAAAGAGCCCTACCTGTGGAATGTGTAATTGACCCACAAAGTGATGTTTCACCCCATATCACCATACATGTACTTTCTAACAGTTCAATCATCCATCCATCCTCTGTACTGCTTATCCAGAACAGAATCACAGTTATCTATTCATCTTAAATACAAGTGGGTATTCCTTTAAATTTATTATTTGACTGTGTATGTAATTACCACCCTGAAATTATGTTTGTTATGCCGTTATCTCCATTGGTTAAATTTTGCGCTTTCTTTGAATGCCTTTTTGCTGCAGTTCAAACAGTTCAAGATCCATGTATAAAGAGAAATTAAGCTGGATATAATGATGAATCCAGATCTGCAGAAGTTATTTAGACTGAGAAGTCTAAATAAAGTCAGCCAGCAGAAACAGCCATATTGATATCAGGAAACGAAGGATATGGTAGTACTGTACATAAATGCAGATACACACACTCACACACACACACACACACAAAGCCAGGCATGCACACAGATTAGGTATCTAAATCTTTGTAGGGACTCTACATTCAGTTCTATGGGCATAACCGTAATCCCAACAATGACAACCTTAACCGTAACCCTATCCCTAACCCCTATCTTCAACCATAAGTAACCAAACTAAATTTAGATTTTTAGTTTTTTTGATCACATTCACATATTTTTATAAAAATTATTGATTGTCACAGCTGACACACCACAGCACACAGTGCAGAACAACAAACTGTGTCCTCTGCATTTAACCCATATGTGACATTACGACATAGCAGGGGGCAGGTAATTCGGTGCCCCGGGGAGCACTGGGGGGGGGGCAGTACCGTGCTCAGGGGACCTCAGTGGTACCATGCTGGTCGGGGATTTCAAACAGCAATGTTTCAATCACAAGAGTGCTTCCATAATCATTAGGCTGTCAAAATGACATTGTGCGATGGTATATGTGTGTGTCTATATGTATATATATATATATATATATAAAAGAAATAATATACACAAGCTGACTTGCCTCCTAAGAGATTCAGGAATCAGCTACAATGTACCTACAATGATACATCGAAAATAAATAAAATTGCAAATAGGGTAGTGTGTGGCTCATTGGGTTAAGCCTCTGTGCCTGTGATTGAAAGGTTACCAGTGTGAGCATCGTCATTGACAGAACAGTCGCATCTGCGTTAGGCCTGATAAATGGCTTGACCCTGTGCTCAGACCCCAAACTTTGCTGTGTGTATGTCTCAAAGGGAAGCAAGACGGGATATGTGGAAAGAAAGCATTCCAATGGACCAGTACCGGTAAGTGTGCAAATGGCAAATAAGAGATCATTTCAATTTAAAAAAAAAAAAAAAGGTGTTTTTCTCTAACCCATGTTTATACTGCCATCTAGTGGTGTGATAAAGTCTCAACTGAGTTTCAGTTTTTATGCCACGAAGGTTAATTACTTTTTATTAATTAGACTCCCCTGGATTTCTGTTAATAAAAAGCTGTACTTCTTCTATTAAAATTGAGGAACCGTTCAGTAGTTTGTGGAAAGTTGACATTTACCAGCGCAACTTGGGGGCAGAGTGTGTGGCTCAATGGATCAAGACTCTGTGCCCATGATTGATCGGAAAGTTGCGGCGTCAAACTTCATGGTTAGCAGAGTGATGTCAGCGTTGGTCCCTTGAGCAAGACCCCCAACATTGCTTCAGTGACCATCAACCAGCTGATCTGCGTATTGCTTTGGAAAAATTGTGTCTACTGAACAAAGACATGAACTTGACCGATGTGGTCTTGTGCTTCACATTTTTTCCTATAGTGTCTGTTTCAATATCTGTTTCAACAGGTGTGGTCTGGCTTTTACTTAAAATTGATTGGCATTATTTTGTATCGATCAAGTTACCCAGGCTATAGTTCTGACTTTACAGGACTATACAGTCACTTGAAATAAACAATATGCACAAGAGTAAACACATCATGTGAATATTCTATCAGAAAACCTGCACTGGTATTAATATTAAATTTGGATTAGGTGAAATAATAATATTCAATCCCAAATCGTCAATGTCATGCTTTCATTTATAAATAGCAAATAAATTAATAAATAAAATATATGGGAATTTGAGATTGTGTTGCACTTGTATTTACTGCAGTTGCTATGTCTGTTTCATATTTAAAAGCAAATACAAAATCATGCAAAATCAATAATTTTATACAATATACAACATTACAGTCATACAACACACAATCATATTACAACATAGCTGCCTATTTTTGGCCCTTCAATGTCAGATATTTCATGTTTTTTTATACTCTACGTTACAAACAAGTCTCACTGTAATTCATGCTAGACATCACGCGATTTACATGTTATTTTGTATTGAAAATGCTATATACAGCTGAAATTTGTGCATTAATGTGTGAAACTCCTTTGCTTACTGACAGTTGGAAAATAGTGATGCTAGCTGGATGAAAAAAAAACACTTGTGGTGAACTTGGAAATCGGGAAGGAAGAACCGTCATATAGGAAGTTACTCTATAGCTGATATGTCATAACTTGAGTATATGAATTTAAGCTTTTTCCATTGCATTCTATGACAAACCGAGAATAAATATTGATAAATAACTGACGTCATGAGTTTCGGGCTTAAAAGCTTAGTCTTGCTGGGAAAAACTTCACACAAACATAAAACAGACAATGTTGTGTTCAGTACATGCCACTACACAATATTTCACAGAATTATTCTCATGTAACAGATTATTTTACAGTTTCGAATATGCTGATTTTAGCTACCCCACCTGAACATTGGTTATCATTTCCAGACTGAAAAGACACTACTTTATTGTTTCTAAATGGAAGTGAGGAATTCAAAGCACATCTAATAACAATAAATACAATCATTAATGTGAATGTAAAACAAAAAACAAAAAGTATTATGTTTACAAGGTTTGTTATACCCACCTCTGTACTGACTTCAAGGGAACACTGCTTAGAAAGGGAGTCAGAGCTGATGAAGTCAGGGAAAATGCTGACATTTTGCTTGATGAAACACAATGTGTTTTTGAGATCAGGTATTTTTACATTTGATTCACTCAAGAACTTCACCCACACGGCTGAACAACAGTTGAAAAAATTTCCACTGATGTATATAGTGTTTAGATAAATGGACACCTTTCTGATAACAGACTCTTCCAAATCTGTGAAATTGTTGTTCCTCAAATCAAGCTCTTTCAGAGGTGAACAGGCAATAACTTCAGGAAGGACATCCAAATAATTGTCTGCCACGTTCAGCTTCTTCAGAGTTTTCAGACATTTTACAGACAAGTCCAAACTTGTCATTCTGTTTCTACCAAGGCTCAGTGATTGAAGCGTGTTCTGTAAACCGTCTAGGGCCCCCTTTTCCAAGATCATCTCCTCATTACCATCCAGGTCCAGTGTGACTAAAGGGGTGTGCTCAAATGTGCATGGGGACAGCAGCTTAATACCATTCTCCTTCAGGTCCAAATATTTCAGTGTCCTGAGTCTCCTAAAGGAAACACAGTGGCTATCATCAACGAGATTTGTTTGTATGGATGTGGATTCTCCCGTTTGGTTCCTATATGAACAAGGCTTCACGTAGTTTTTTTTGAGAATTAGCTCTTCAATTTTTGGCAGAGCCTTCAAGAAATCTGGGGAAAAATAACTAATCTGATTGTTTTGAAGATCCAAGGACTTTAAAGAAGGACAACTCTGTTGTGGCTGCCCTTCTTGTGCGTAATTTTTGATCTCAGCATCACTGATATTCATCAGGCAGTTGCCACTTAGATTTAATGACTTAAGTGACACTAAATAGCTACATATCTCCATAGGGAAAGAAGAGAACTGGTTCTCACTCAAGTCCAAATCAACTAAGGGTGTCTCCTTTAAGGCAGAGTATATATTTTCAACACTTTCCAACCCACTGTCATATAGGTTTGAGATTTTGTGGTATGAAAAGAGTGTTTCTAGAAATGGCAGTTGGTTTTCTAAAACACCTACTTTGTTGTTTTTTAAGTTAAGATACTTTAGATTATTTCTATTGGGTAATAGAGGAAAAAGCAAAAGATTATTATAACTAAGGTCTAACATTTCAAGTTGAAATATATTTTCAGTCTTCTGAGTGATGAAGAATTGTAAAGCATTTCTGCTTAAGTTTAATTTTTTTAGCTGGGAAAGTTTAAAATCACAAATAGAGCCCAAGTTATTTCTGGCCAAATTCAACTCTGCAAGTCTGGTCAAAGACTCAAAAGTTCCCTGCTCTATTTCAGATATAAAGTTATTTTCTGCAATAATGCTTCTCAGATTCTGGCTTCTTGTAAAGATTCCAGGTGTAAGTTTGGTTAGGACATTCCCAGAGAGACTGAGGTACTCTAGATACGATGCATTTCTCAGGTAGAACTCCACGTCTTTTTCATCCAGATTATTCAATGACAAATCCAAAGTGTTCAGTCTGTAAAGGTGCAGGAAAGATTTGCTGTTGTCAATGGAGTTATGAGAAAGAAAGTTTCTTCCAAGAGTTAGCGTGTGAAGTTCCACCAAGTTCTTGAATGCTCCCTCATGTATGACATGCAGTTCATTTTGACTAATGTCCAAGTTCTGGAGGAATCTCAAACTCACCACACCTATTTCTGTGATGACGTTGTTTGACAGATCAAGCTGCCGCAGCCTCGGGTTTAAGTCAGCAGGTATAGAGGAGAGATTCTGATTCCAGCAGGACAAAGTTTTTAAACTGGACTATTGAAAGAAACAATGATTTTTCTCATTATTATGAGAAATCAAATATATGTAACACATATAAACAACAAACCAGATATTGTAAAGTATTAAAGTTAATATGATAAACATAGCATACAGATAGTAAATACTACCATGTGAGGAAAATGCAGCCCAGAACATTTAAGGAAACATCAAAATCATTTAAAACAATTAAAAATGCCAAATCATACCAAGTGATGCTGTCTGGTAAAACATTTTCCAGGCTTAAATCTGTAAATATCTGTTTTTTATTACTGCTTTTATTGCTACAACTAAATTAAGAGAAATCCCCTCTAAGTACGTAGCCATGCATGTAAAATGAAAACCTCTTTAATGACATACCTTCTGACAGTCCTGCGGCTGCAAAGAAACGTTTGCGAGGTAGCTGGAGAGAGGCCACTGGAAAATAAGGAAGCCGACGAGCGCGGGGCCAATCATTCTCTGGCGGCTCCTGTGCCAAAGCTACATGACTTTGGATTGCCGCTCACTGACATGCCTATCCATTTATAGCTCTGTTATTATACGGGGGAGAGAAAAAAAAAAAAAAACAGGCGTGGGAGACACAATGAGGAAATGATGTACGTGGGTCTCCGCATTGTTTCATTATCTAACATCACACAAATGGTCATTCAGATTAGTATTTTACCTAAAAGGGTATTCAAAAGCACTGTTTTGCTAATATTTAATTATATGCTTCTCTGTTATATTTATCCAGACTCAATGTGCATAAATAAGATGCTTAAATGTAAACTGCTGTAGAAAACTATTAAGTGATCGTATTAAGTCATTTTATTGATTACAATTCAATGAATTTGATTTTATTAATTGCAATTCAATCAAATGTTATGTAAACAGAGATACAAAGATGTTTTGTTTTTTTTTCATATATATATATATATATATATATATATATATAATTTTTTTTTTCTTTTTTTAAAGGAAAAGGATCTTATTTTTCCTTCCACCCTTGTCCAATAAATTCACATCCTGCACAGGTCATTTGCCATCCTGACAAAGAAGGGCCATTTCCAAAATAGAAAGGAAAAAAAACAAACAAATATTGCTAAGATAGGGCAAACGGTAGTGCAGTGAGCCCAGAAAAGGAATAAACAAAGACAGAAATAGCCCACGATGAGAGAATGTAACAGCACGTAAACACGAGAAACTGCACAGACACCCACACATCTCATATGTTCAGAAATAGAGTCGGCACTCTGTTTGGGCATCATTCATATCCGTGTCACATGTCAGGATATCCCCCAGATAATAACGCCTGGCAGCGATGGAAATTACCAAAGAAACATCCGACGGCGTGTATGAGCTAGAGCATGTGATGGGCAGCTGTGCGGTGGCTTCCCCTTCGGGGGATGACCGCTCAGGCAGCTCTGCAGTCGCCAAGCTGACGGCCTCCATGACAGCAAAGCGATGATAGCTGTTATTCTGGCTTCCCACAGCCCTTCCCGTTCTCAGATAGCCACGTGTTGAGAGGTTCTGATAATGTGAGCCACATGAAAAAGAGGCAGGAGCACTGGCTACGTATATTAAAGCCAGTGACAATATATATGAGTTGTTTATATTCATAATTCATTAATTCCACACTTGGTTTATGATAAAATGTCAATGTTACTGTAGGAGAAATATGTAATTATCACTGTTTTGAAGGAGTTGCATTAATTAGAAACTGGACATAATCTATGCTATAATACCAAATATTATATAAATGAGTGACTTCTTTTTGTTCATATGTATGTTATCAGTTCTTTTTTCATGGCACTTTGTCCCATTATCAAATACTGGATTTGTCCATAGAAACAACTAGATGGAAAAAAACGACAATGACATCACGCATAAAAATGTAAAAATGTATATACTGACCTGCTATTTATAATAACACTATTTGAGAAAAAAAAACACAATTACTATAATGACTGGCACTAATCTACAACTGTAAAGCCATATTCTACTTACTACTACCATTTTATTGCTACTATTTCTCATGCTACTGCTACTAGTATATGCAGGGCCTGCAGGTGCCGATCAAGCACTACCAGCATGGGAGCTGCAGGTGACATCACAATGTTACATCCACAAGCCATCATGCCCCATGTTGGTGTATAGTTTCTCGTCTTGTGCACACTACAGTGTGTACGGTTTGTGCTTTCCTTTTCTGCCTTTGACATTGAAGTTTGGTAGTTATAATTAACCACCATGATTTGCTTGTTTTATGTGACGTATATAGAGATGTATGCAATATTCAAATTTAATTTTTAAAAATTGCTTTCTTGCTGTATATAGTATGCAATAATATCTGTTTTCTCTCTATATGGTTTGCTTTTATTTTTGTTTATTTATTTGGCCTTTATATAACGTTTTACATGTCGTTACCTCACGTCACCACATGCAGTATACCAAATATAGTTTCACCAAGATGGCAGCCCAAGGTGATTGCGCAGTACCATTGCAACACTCCCAGTGCGCCCCTAGTGGTCTGATGCCCCAGGGAAATGCCAGGTTTCTTTAGGCCACGCACCGAACCTGAGTACACTGTACTGTAGATATACATGCCTGAAATTTTTTTATGGAGAAATGCTGGTAGTTTCAGTAGAAGTGAAGACTATGATCTTTAAATATTATTATGACATTATTGAAATTAATAGATACCACCTTTATGAAAAGTGTTATTTCTAAATTTCAAAGTTTTTAATACATTTTTTTTCTCCATTAAATTTGAATATTGTGTACATCTCTATATACGTCACATAAAACAAGCAAATCATTGTGGTAAAGTGTAGTAAAAGACACATTTTAGTAGACCACATCCTCAAAAAGGAAACTCAAACTGCAACATTTGCGATTTTTACAAGTAGTCTGTCCTTCCTTTTTGTCTACTAACCAGAACACATAAAAAATAATCTGAATATTATCCAGAATTTCCCCCAGGGATCAAGTAAATCTTAATCTTTATTATTTAACCTTATAACAATCATCCTTATCTCGATTATCATGCTAACATTCCATGGTTAATCATACTCTGAATTCTTCTCCACTCTACATGCCCCTCCCAAGTTCCAGGATGAAGCAGTTGGGGCAATTCTTGGGACGAAATTAATTGGGGATTTTTTTATTTTTTTTTGGGGGGGGGGGGGGGTTATGCACACAAATAGGTGCTGACTACAATTTGAAAGGCAAGAAAAATACCTGAGATTTACTAAAAATCTTTAAAATTAAATTTCAGTGGGTGTTTCCTAGAATACTCACATCATGGGAGACGTAGAAATTATTTTTTACTTATTCTCTCACTTTCAGTTTTCCCCATACAGTCAGAAAGTCAGAAACTCATCCATATGTCACTGTACTGTATGATATATGCAGTGAGTGCAGTGAGTGAATTATCACAATAAGCTGTGGAATCCACTCCAGTGAACAAGTCCACCTGTGTTTTGCTGTCTCTTCATTGCAGTTGCAGGATGCCAAAGAAAGTAGAGTCTGCATCCATGGAAATGAGAGCCTGAGGCCTATCAGGAATCACCAGCTCCAGCTCATCCTCCCGCTCCAGCTTCACGATTCCTTTCAAGACAAATGATTGGTCAGAGTCCAGCTCCAAGCAGCAAATCACCTTAGGGGGCAGTGTGTGGCTTGGTGGGCTAAGCCTCCGTGCCTGTGATTGGAAGGTTGCTGGTTCAAGCCTGGCTTTGGCACGTCTATGGGCCTTGGAGTAAGTCCATAACCTCCAGCTCCCTGGTGGTGACCCTTGGCTGCCAAGTTTGCTCTCACGGAGAGCAAGAGGGGGTAGGTGAGAAGGGAATTTCCCCACAGTGATCAATAAAATATAATCCTTCCTTAGGTTGGACTATCAGAAGTCTTTGTGTGCAAGTGTAATGTGAGTGGATGCCATGTGACAGAATTTAAAATTAGGTGATCAGTGTTGACACAGTGCAAAACAACAAAATGTGTCCTCTGCATTTAACCCATATGTGACATAGCATGGGGCAGCTAATGCAGTACTTGGGGGGCGGTACCTTGCTCAGGGTACCTCATTGGTGCCTCGCTGATCAGGGTTTCAAACCAGCAATCTTTCAATTACAAGTGGCCTCCTCTCGTTTGTATAGTTCTTATGTTCTTAAGTGCGCTTCTCTCACAATTAAGCCACCACTGCCCACTGTCTCCTGACAGTGTCTTGAGGTTCAAAAAGAAGTATTAAGCTCAACATCTGCCCTTTTTTTGTTGTGAGCGTATGGTTGGTGCACAGTAATGAAGCCTTGGGCTCAAGGGCATAACCTTGGTTTGAACATTGGCGGGACTGAGGTGTCCACCCATTTAGGAGGAAACATGATTACTGGGGGGGGTGTTACAGCCACGCTTGGAGGGCCGCTAAGGATATTATGCCAAAATAAGGCATAGATGCCAACAGATGTGTTTCTGGGGTGATATCTTACCTGTAGTGTAGCATGTATTTGCACAGTTGTTTCGGGGCATTTCTTGCAGACAACGGAGCAGATCAGTGAACCTGTGCTCCATTCCGGACACGCTAGATTTCCGTCTCCTGATTAAATGACCCATAACGATGCCAGGGTTGTGGAACAGAACCTGTAAACAGTTGTAAGTTTGGATAAAAATGTAAAATAAAAAATAAAATGTATTTTGTTTTTAGCATACTAGATTTATTTTTAATGTATTTAATACTTGTTAATGTATTCAAAAACATCAATACAAAAATCTTATTTATTAAGAGAAACGGCAAATCTAGCAATGTAAATACTTTCAGTAAACTATCATTCTACAGAATGTTCCCTGAGTTGCAGTTACCTTCATTAGTTTGTATTATAAAACATTGTATATACATTAAACAAAATATATTTCTAAATAAATAAGAGTATAAATAATTATATTATTTTTAAAGTAGTAAATTATGCATTTTACACAGTGGCATAGACACATATTTTGTTTATTGCGTAAGCCTGGCCTGAGACTGTGTAACTTAAGCTAACAAAAAAAATGAGTAGCTATTTTTGTACCTGGCCAAACACCATATAATAGCTGTCTTGTTTAACAATGATTTTGTTGTCAGCTATTAATAAAGCTTCTCCATGCTGAATGGCGACAGTCCAGGGAATGGTAGTGGCATTGTCTGAGTCTACAGAGCCAAGAGAAGAATTATGACTAAATTAAAAAAAGCCATGCAATACAATCCTTTTTAACCTCAGTATTCGACATCTGTTTTTGTAAGTTGTATTAGCTGAATAAAACAGAGGAAGTGTAACTTTTGCATTTCTGGTATTGCTAAGATAATTTGCATAGAGGTTAGAATATTGTTTCTGGCTTGTATTTACAAGTCAGAGTTGGTAAAGTTTTTAATAGAAATGTATTCAATTCTGTTGACCTAGACATGCTAAATAAATATAAATGGTGTGATTAGCAATTTACTAGCAGTAGACAAAACTTGCCACCGGCTTTCCATCCTACATAACTGATTTGAAGAAATGTTTATATAACAAAAACATGTGAAAGAAACACCACTATGAAAGGCTGTGGTAAAGTCTGATGCATTATCCCATGCAGCATTCTTGATACAGTTCATTCATACAGTGTAATAACAGTGGAAGATCATTAGGCCCCAAAGACGTGATTACAGCAAGAGACTTAAACACTTCCATGATGCTGAGTGGGACATTTTACTGGAGTGCCCTCGGTCCAGAGCCTGAATTCATTACCATTCCATATGATTGTTTATACGTCTTTCTGGGTGGGTTACATGCGGGCAAACTTACACTTCTACTATGTTCCTTCCAGTCACCAGACTTGGCCAAAGGGCATTTGTGTAACTGTCTGTAGGCGTTCCTTGTTGAATAAGAGGAAGAATCTCACTACGTCAGCGCTCACTTCAGACGTAATCAGTGCCATGCTTAATTGCACAATGTGGCCTTCTATGTGACATGTTTGCCCACTTCTTGAAAGTTGCTTCGGCAGGAAGTGCCATCAAAGAACATGGCCCTTAAAGGTTACGCCTTCAGCATACGAGATAGAGGATCGACATTGATGGTAGAACAGAGAAGCGGCTGTTTACCTCTCAGAATTGGATTTTCATTGGCTGCGGCAATCAGCTGCAGAAATGACTGCTGAGCTGTAAACCAAAAGTACATTCACAACATATTTTCCATAAATCGTAACGTTATTTTTAGTGCTTTTTGTCTGTGCAACGTGAATTTGAGAATAGCGTCATCTATTGGAATGTAGAAAGAAAAATACAGCCTCATGATCTACAATCCTTGCAAAAAAATTGTTTCCTCGTAACTGTTATACCGACTGCCACAGACACATTATTTTGGTGTTGGAGGGATACAGTAGCAACTTTAGACTTGTCATCTGACTGTGCATGGCAAGTAATCATGAAACTGATACTTACTTGTAATGTCAGTCTGTTCTCGCTTTGTTCTTATGGTGGAAGACTTTATTGCATGTTGATGGCCCTTTTGAGTTTTCATGTGATAGGACGTTTTAGAGGTCACTAACTTGATCTTCTAAAAATAAATTAAATTAAACTAAACATGTGTTATCCACCATTGTTCTGTCAATACTTAACATTAAGGGCCCATTTACACTAAATGTAAATACCTGTCCACTAAATGATATTATTTAAATATAACATATTATTAAAATGTAAATGCTAAAAATGACAAAACAAATTCTTTGTAAATATACTGTATTTGAGAAACCAGAAGTATTTTTGAACATATCTAACCATGTGAAACTAATTTAGCGAAAGCACTGGAGACGTAGAAATATGACATATGTGCGAAAAAATGACTCATGAACATACCTCCCAAATATCTACCATGAACTGTCCGTTGTTGAAATCTTGTGATGTTTGCTGGTGAGAGAGAAATCCCCCTTTCAGTTTTTCCAGATCACCTTTTAAAACTCTGACCTCATATGTCAAAAAAAAGTTCAGACATACTGTCACCAGTATTACTAATACTGAAAAGATGCAATAACTGAAGATCAGTTTTTTGGATACCGAATTAATTTTGAGAACGAACTTGTACATGCTCAGAACAGCACGTTTGATTATATAGAAGCTATAGAAGATATTGCTGCATTGCAAGATGGATGTTCTGGTCCATCTGCACTCACAGGAAACCACAGTACTAAAATGTAAAAATAGATACAAAATGCGGAACTTGTATGATGTTCATGCTGAGGCAGCCCTCTTATGACTGATCTTTTAAGCCAATACAATTCGTTTTTAATACAAAGGGTCATACAGACAAATCATTGATACCTAAAAATATTCCATATATAGAATAAACATGTATACTATATTTTGAATAATTTGAAGGAAAGTTACTTTTCCTCAATCACAGTATTTAGTCAACAAATTATATCTTTATGCAATTTTGATGAGTGAGGATACAAAAGTACATGGTGAGGGAAAATGTGACCAGATACCACTACTAGGGGATCAGTGATCCAGTAACTTGATGCAGTCTTGGATGTTCAAGGCATCAAACAGGAAAACACACACAGAAAGCAGGCAGACAGAACAGGAAAGTTCCCTTGTGAATCATCCGTTATTAGACAGCTGGAACTGAGTCATCACATTTTGTTTATCTTAACTGGTGCTTCTTGAGAAAATGTTGTAAGATCTAGGTAAATGGACGCCCTTCCTGTCTTCTCTTTGGCAGTTTTTTTTTTTTTGGCCATGACAGTATTCTATTGGTGCAAACACTATGCTTTGTCACAATCACATTGGCTACATTGTAAGCTCTGACTGAAATAAGTCCAAGTCAAAGAATCCACGAGCTAATACAGCACAGATTTCTTGTTATACTTAGATAAATACTTAGATAAATACATGCTGAATGTATTTAAAATGCGGGCTTGACATTAGGCTTTGCCAAAGAAGTATTCAAGTATTCATCCCTGTATTCATTATATCATATAATATGAATAATATAAAAATCACAAAATAATACAACACAAAATACATCAAACTGACAAGAGTACCAATACAACTAAGTGTCTGTGCTCAATTCTAATGGAAAATGTTGGCAAATCCAGCTTTACTATGTGTTACCTACTCATGGCGCTAGCATTAGCTGTTGATGCTAACAGCTTCAGCTAACCTTGTAACTACTTAGATCAACTAAACTTTTTTCACGGAAAGATGTCAAACATGGAGGAGCTGATAAGCAGAAGTGAGGAAATACAAAAAAAAGTGCATGATTCCTCAAAATAAGACCATAAAACACGCAGATGGCTGCTAGTTCCGGGAGTGAAGCTGCAGATCTCGCCAAACACCTGTGCCTCGAGGTTCCTCCCTTGGTCACTGTGCTGCTCCTCTGGGGCCCAGAGCCTACAAAAGAACTCAAGCAGTTTAGTCGCTGTGGTGGTGGCGCTTTGGTCAGGAACCGCATACCTCGGTCTGGGGGAAGGGGCCAAGGGCGTCTACCCCACATGCTCCATGGGGGTGCTCACCAGATACAGCTGCAGGGGAGCCCAGGACTGCTGGCTAGGGCCCTTCCTAGCTGTGAATGCTTCACAGCCTTGCAGTGTCCTGCCGGCAGACAGTCCAGTAGAAGCACTGCCAGGGCTTGCCTAAGGTCTTTACCCTGTAGTGCCCGGCCCCATCAGCCCCGTGAACTGACCTCAATACAGCGGGACCCGGGCTCTGGGGCATTAGCAGCTGCAGCAGTCCCCCTTGCGCCATCTGGCGATCGCCAGTGTCAATACAGCAAGTCCCTGGGCTCTTCCAGGGTGTCCAACTGGGAGTGGTAGGCCTTGGTTTCTGGGCCCAGCCAGCACAGCGTCGCTGCTTTGCTCCGTGATGAGCTGCTGCCGATCAAAGTCCCGGGGGGCCTGGGTGCTTGGTGCCGTGTGGGCAGAGGCTGCTATCTCGGCATGGATGCTTCATTCGCATTCCTGTGCAGCTTCCCGGGTTGATGCTGGACCTTAAAATTGCACTCCAGCACCTTCCAACCAGTGGGCCGGCTGCCCCTCTGGATTGCGGGAACTTAGCAGCCATGTCAGGGAAACGTGGTCCGTCCGCAACCAGAACCACCAGCCACAGAAGTACGCTCAGACATGCTTACATGCCTGTACAACGGCTGGCAGTTCCAACAACCACTACACAACCACTACACAACCCCTCACTCCCCTCCGGGACCCGACTGCAAAAGCACAGCGCTAAGCCCCTTGCTACTAGCATCCGTGTCCAGGATAAAAGGAAGACACAGCTCTGGGTATGCTAGCACAGGAGCATCGGCCAGTGCTGCGTGATCTGGTTAAACACAGCGCCAAAGGCATCCTTCCACACGGAACCTACACATGACATTACAATACAGCACAAGACATTACAATGCAAGGCAATCTCAAAGAACTATTTGCTGCGCTGCTCTGTGGTACCTCCAGCACTACAATATTTTCATGGCTGAATTAGGGTTATAAACGTGGACCAAATTTTTCAACGACTGAATATCGGCTGCAACGGTCGACCAGATTTGGCCCAAAATACAACAGTCATGGACGTCTGGTGCTCGGTAGGACTTATCAGGAAAAATGGTGGGAAGATGACAGGAGGGGATGAGATAATGGCATACTGGCAACATATGCATGATTGAAGCAAAAATCAAGCAAATGATAATGAGGAAGATGATTCCAATCAGGCTGTGGGGAGGCATGGTAGTGCCAATCTTGGTTCCACTCTTAGAGGGTGGAGTTCACATGCTCCCCGTATCGCACAGGCTTTTTACAGCATGCAGATTGGTTAATGAATGTTTCCAAATTGCTCATAATGTATGATCGGGCCACTCCATCACTCAGTATACTTTGCGTCACTCACTGTTTGAAGGTGTCCAGAACCTTCAGGCATTTTCCAACAGAAAAGGGGAAAGTTAAGTTCTGATATCAGAGACACATCTATCTTCCAGACATGCCGAGATTTGTGCAAGATTGATTTGCAGCAAAATACAACCAGTGCGGTAGTGGTGGGAAAAGCGTACGAAGCAATGATTTTCCCTAAGGAACCAATTTGGAGGAAGGAGAGCGGACAGAGCACTGAATTCTGGGGAATGATTGCTGAGATCATGGTGAGTAGTCAGTGCTGAGCCTCTCTGGCAATCTGCTCTACAACAATAATGACTGCTAAGACAGGTCTTTGATCATTGTTGTATAATATTCTTTGAGCATTTCTAAAATTTGAGGACAGAAGTATTTTTGACGAAGCACGTTTCTATGTTTTTGGAATGGGATTTCTGGAAGAGTTCAGATGACAAATTAAAATACAGAAGGCCAACACAGTAATTAAAATTAGTTCATTTTGCGCATTTATACAAGGGTCCAGTGCACATGCCATAATATATGCGTGTGAGATGGACTGCTGATTGTAATCACAAGGAGATCTGCGCCAGATCTAGCATTCTGCTCAATTTTCATTGCAAATGGCCTGGAGATATTGAAAATAGATGACTGCTGAATTGAAAATGACAAAATGGGGGTGAGAATGAGAGAGAGAAAAAAAATACTTAGAAAACAATCATGGAAATGTGAAAAGAACCTTTAGTTTCTTTTTTAGTTCACAGGTCACAGCTGTGCTTGTCTGAGGTCAGGACTCTCAGCTTATCTTCCAACCCAATGAAAACAAATAGTGTTTTGAAGAAATTCAGCAAAGTTCCTGATTCTACAAAAAGGCTCAACGATCCTCTCAGTTTGTCTCTTTGAAACATGAGGCTTGACTTCCTCTCAGATACTTTTTTATAGTAGGAAATCTGAGAATTATTGAACATGATCTCACTGATGTGATCTCATCTTTACTGAGATCTAGAATAATATATATATATCTTTTTATAATAATATATATATATAACTTATGCTGCTGACTGTAGAACAGCAAAGACAAGTAAAATACAATAACAGACATAAATGAACAAATCTTTAATCATATGAATCAAGACAGATGATTTACAAAAGGTACTTTCTATTTTATATACATATATACAATCAAAATACAGTATACAAATGTACAGTATATTCCAGGAAGTAGGATAAGAACAGTTACTATAATCATGTACTACGGAATTCAAATTAATCTGGACTTCCAATGATGGGTGTTAAAATGTAACAAAAATAAAAGACTATGAACCAAAAACAAATGCAGTATATGTTAAATGATCTTAAATGATTTTAAGGTCCTTTTCAATTTTAGTCTTCAATTCAACACGAGAAACACAGACTGAAGCAAATCGTTTGAAGCCGTATTGTCACCTACAGAAGTTTACCATTTTGGTAAAGCCGTGTATAATATTATACTGTATATACATGTTGATGATATGAATTTAATGTATATTCTTGAAACTCAAATACATGTAATTCAAGAAAGGAAGAAAATAAATGATGCTTTTCTTCAGCGACAAGGCATTTAGAAATTGTTTACATCTGAAATGAGCTCAACGTTAAAAAAAAAAAAACACTGCATATATATTCTTAGTTTTTAGGATGTCGACATTGCAACAATACTGTGCTAGCATCATCAGCAAATACATTAAACCAGTATCAACATTAAAAATACGTAGTTTGGTGGCGTTAGTTTGGGCACATGTGTAGCTTATTCCGCATCGGGTCCCACAGCCCTTCATCCTCCCCCTGTCTTATAGGGAATCATCTCGGACAAAATGTTACATTTCCACCTAAAAGCGAAATGTTTTCAACTGCCTTCCCTGTAATTCTTCTGTGTTTTGTTGAAGGTGTATACATATTCTAATCAATTAACTGTCATGAGAAAACTAATTTTTCATAAAGGTGAATTCTTAACAGGGCAAATATTTCCATTTGTGTTACATTGTCCATTGTTTGAGATAGGCCTACTCTCAGAAGCAGTATAATGCTGTTACACCTGATTATGAAATTATTTTTAAATTGGTGTATCTTCTATTACTCCAGCAACCCATTCAGCCATTCACAGACATCCCACCTCTTGTGGAAGTTCCAGGAATCTCCCACAAATTGACAGCAGCACCCAGACACTCGCAAATGATGCGCAATATATCCCAGAAATCTGTCATTCCGCTATACATTGGCAGCAAAATTAGCCGTCAGGAAGTTTACCTACCACTGCTAGAGGTCTGCAACCCAAACCCAAGCCTGATGGGCTCCGACAGAGGCTTTCAGGCCGGGCCAGGGTCAGTTTTTAATGTTCAACTCCAGACTGGGGTCGGATTTATATTAGGTGTTCATGTGTGATTTCTTTTTATTTTTTTTTGGTGAAATGAGCAAATTGCTTTTTGCGCTTTCTGGATCCTTTGCTTGCTTGTGCTTTCCATACCACCCCCGATATACAACCTTAGGCGGCATCTAACCTTAACAGTCATACCATCCAGACATTATATGGTAGTATACCGCATTTTAAAAAGCAACACTATTTCGTTTCAGTATTCCAATTATATTTGCTGGGGGGTGGTCACTGTTTTACCACCCATGCCTGGACAGCCCGCACCCAGTTGTCCCTCAGTGTCCCCGAAATCAATATGCATATGGTGGGATGTCTGCATCCAGTCATGTATTCATTAAATCAGCAAATCTCAATCACATCTCCAATTAGGCTCACAGTGACTCATAGTCTATTATGGGGTATAAGGCTGAATGCATCACTGTCAGGATGCTAGTTGAATCACGACGCACATGCACACAAACATTCTCTCATATGTTCTGGAATGCCTAAAGCAAATTTAAGTCACCAGTCCATCTGAAATCTCAAGTCCTTAAATTGTGGGAGAAAACACTGGAAAGATAAACACAGCCCATTGATGCCTGATATAAATATCTTCTCAAAGCATTTCCTTATTCTAATGTCATGTTATTATAATTTTTTTCCATCACTTTTTAAAAAAAATCTTCATTAAAGTCCTGGTGATGGAAAAATTCTTAGAACAATATTTGGTTGCATATTTAGTTTTCTGACAGTTTTTGAAAACATTACCATACGTCAGGAAACACTGCCAATATGAATTTTTAAGTAATTTATCTGGGATTAACCAGTATAACTAATATGTTTGCGGAAGTGAATCCAATAACCAGTGTTATTGTAAACAGATTTAAAGCCTATAATTAAATATCACAATCACAATCAAAAGCAGGCAAGAATTGTTATACTGAAAATGGAAACACCTACAAAATACCTCAAAATGTGTGGAAATTCTTTAAATATAAGGTCTCTGAAGAAGCCCTTTTTATTTACGCCGCTGTGGGAAATGTTACAACCACACTAATTTAAGATGGTTGCACTTATTTCCCTTCTCTGTCACTATGATAGTACACCTTTAATGTACATTCAGGCAAACAAAGAAGCCATTCCTGCAGGTGAGCAAAAATTAGATGGAGCCCATCAAATCAGGTGTTTCCATTACTGTCACTATCAGGCAGACTCATCAGTTCATTTGATTCTTGAGAATCTTCTTTTCATTTCATGCTTTGAAAAAAATAAAAAGGAGGATGGGATGAACAGGTAGTACTTAGGCTTGGCCACTAGGTGGAGCATCTCCCAGGCGGATACTCCCTAGAAAGGTGGTGTGGTTAGTCATGCTGATGGAGGTGTCCTCATACACCATCTTGATGGAGATCTTCTGGTGGGCCCTCAGCAGGCAGACGCCGGCCGTGTAGCAGGTGTTGAACTTGCGCTGGCCTGTCTCAATGCTGCAGGTGCATCTCAGGAACGGGGTCTTATCAACCATCACTTCATAACTGGCGATGTCAGTGAAGTTGAGGTAGTAAATCTGGCATGGCGCAGGAAGACCGAACAGAACACATTTCACTGGCATGATGAAAATATTTATCTCTCGCTGCTTTCCGCTTAACGTCAATAGGAACACATTCTTTACAATGATGCCAAGTTGCTTACAATGATTCCATTATAAAATCTGGACTAATGGTTGCCTAAAATCATTAAAGAACTATTTAAGAATAATAATGTAAAATATATATTCAAATAAATGAGGGTTTTGTAAGGGGCTGCTGGGTCTTATCCTGATTGCTGCAGATCGTATGATTCACCCCTACAAAGAGGCCAAGACTAGAAGGTTTCATCAAAGACTTATTTTCTTTTGTTAGAATTAAATCTGTAAATTTATTATATCAACATGGGCCAAATATTGTGATAAAAGATCTGTAGCATTGTTTTCCTTTTTCATGTAATGGCCAACATCATGTCATCTCACAATTAATCATCTATAATCTTTTGCGCTCGACGCAAAATGTTTTCAGTCCAGGCTCATTACCGAGATCAAACAATAATGCTCTTATGTTATTCTTGAAATATTGCTCCCCTGTATATCTTACCATTGCATGGCATACATTTATGAGGCCACAGCATTAAACCATAAACATGCATTAATGTAACATTCATTCGGGAAGTGCCACCAATCCCACTGAAGTAGGTTTGCAGTTAGATAAGGGATCAGATAAGAATTATATTCATCTCCAATAACAGCTTCTCCAGGGTTTCTGCACGCACAGAGGCAGGTGTCTGGAGACTATGCCAGAGCACCATAGGCTCCACATACTGCACTATGGGCGTTTCAGAGATAGTAATGAGCTTAATTACTTTGGAATGCAGGACGAAATTGCATGAAACAGGGACACACACAAGTACCAAACAGAGGGAAGGCGGGATTTAAACCACCAACCCTGGAGGGGTGAGGAAACAGTACCACCTATTTAGCAACTGTGCCACCCGAGAAGCAAAAACATATTTTAATATAGCATATATACTATGCTATGTCATACTATGCTATGCTATGCTATGCTATACTATACTATACTATAGTCATATGCACTTGCTGGAGTAGGTTTTGGTTCTGAAATCCAGTTACTGTAATTGCAACCACTCCTTGTAATTGCACCTGTTTAAAGAATGAAGCATTACTGCAGTGAGGTGGGGCACGTGGCATGCGGTGGGGATGAAGAGTTAGGCCCAAGACCGTACTCACTTCTACCTGACTATAGATGAAATACGTGCCGTCGACCAGCACCTCCAGCTCCCCCGAACGCGAGTGCATCTTGAACACCTTGTGGTGTATGGATATCATCTTCCAGTTTTTGAGTACACCTTCTGAAAGATCTCAGCGTGAGAAAAGGGCCGTCACTCAGCATCCGTCACGATGGTGGAAAGAAAATCTACATTCATACATGTGTCACCAATAATGAAAATTTTAATTCTAAATACCCAGACTTTTATATAGCAAATTTAATTGCGGCTGCATATTAACAAGCAGAACTGACAGATAGATTCACAGAAATACTACACAAGCCTGAAGCAGCCTTTGTTGAGGACTGTATAATAAAGGTCACCCAGGCCCCCTGCATCATTTCTAGCAGAAAAAAATGACTTAAAAATGTGATAATTGTGCAGTTATAGATAATTATGTGTGTCACTAATCAGGCTCCACGGCAACCTTTGCTAAAGCTGGACAGACTGTGAATTCTCTGATACAAATCCCATTCTAATTTGGTGCAACAACAAGGGAATTATATTTAATGCAACAAAATGAAGGATTTTCTATTGCATTTAAAACACAAAGCTCTACTAATTAGTTAGCAAGACAGAAGACCGAAGACAGTGTAAACCTCATTTGCAATATGTCATAAATTTTATTTGTATTTGTTGATAAATTAATTGTAACACCTACACACACTGTAGCAGTAATTTATTTTATTATGACTTTTGTACTTGTACACAGAACACAAAACACAATGTTCCCTCTAATGTATAAATTCAGCTTTTTTTTTTTTTTAATTCAGTGCTTACCTTCCTTCACTTGAATTGTTGTCTCCTGGCCTTGCAAATGAACGACAGCAGGCTAAAAAAGAGAAAGAAATAATAACTATATAAGCACCGAGTATGCATTTCGATAGTAAGAATGCAATGTAAGCACCGAGTATGCATTTCGATAGTAAGAATGCAATGTAAGCACCGAGTATGCANCACCGAGTATGCATTTCGATAGTAAGAATGCAATGTAAGCACCGAGTATGCATTTCGATAGTAAGAATGCAATGTAAGCACCGAGTATGCATTTCCATAGTAAGAATACAATGTAAGCACCGAGTATGCATTTCCATAGTAAGAATGCAATGTAAGCACAGAGTATGCATTTCCATAGTAAGAATGCAATGAAACCCTTCATTGTGACTGAACATTGAAAATGCAGCATATCCTACCTGGATGCTTTTGATCTTTTCTATGGCTGCAGGGAAAAAAAAAAACATAAAATTAGTAATTTTTTTCAAATCTCGCTCTCAATATCCGATGTTCATTCTGTTTTTACTTGATATGCTTTCGGACTTAGGTGTGAGGGAAAAGGGCAACGATTGGGGCCGATTCTAGGATTTTTTAAGATGGGGGCATACTGTAAGTGGGGGCCATAATTCATACAGGGGGGTCAACTAATAACATGTTTTAAATTGGTGAGTGACATGGAGGGGGCACTCAGGAGGCCAATCATCTCTCAGCTGGGCCCAGTGCCCCTATGGCCCGCCCAGGAATATGGCCCTGGATGCATTTAATTGGCGCCTTGTTTACCTGCAGGTCCTTGAGGGCCAGGTGGGCCCTGGGGCCCCGGGGGGCCTTGAAGGCCAGGTGACCCGGGGGGTCCTGCTGGTGCCATCACATTGCTCCCTGGGATTCCTGGTATTCCTGGGATACCAGGGGGGCCGGGTGGCCCTGGGGGGCCAGGGGGGCCCGGCGGTCCTGGTGCACCAGGGGACCCTTTTTTACCTGGGGAAACGATAAAATGAAACTCACCTCACTGCTGACTTTAAACTAACTACCTCAATCACACTGCACTGACACTTTAAACTGGTCTCATACTGTTCTAGACTTTATAAACTAGCTTTTATACTGTATTTTATACTATTACACCCTAACACTGGTTTTTATACCACTTTTTACTGTAGTCTTCAAATGAGTTTATGCTGACTTTTATTATCTTATCTACTTATCCTGTTTAATCTGCTCCACACTGTATTTCATGCTGCTCCTGTGTTTATACTGTGTTTCAGTTTATTTGCTGCTATAATTCCAAGGCCAATTATCTACCTCCTACCCGCTCACTGCACTTTGTTGCCGCACTACAGTGTCGCAGTAGCTTGTCTGATTGTTTTGCCTGACCGTTGCACTGTCATGTCACAGCTGCACTTTATGTCTGTCCTGTGTCGTTAAACTGTCACACCATTTGCTCCAGAGAACTGCAATTTCAACCCTCTGTGTACTTGCATATGCCTGGGCTGACAAAAAACATTCTTGACTTGACTAATAAAACATAAGTGTGGATGATTTACATTTGTCTTTTTTGTGGGGCAACCAAAGAAGAGCAGGAAGGGGGCGCAGAGGGGGTCCGAATACTGCCTCCACTCTGCTTGTGGGGTTTACATGATCCCCCCCCCCCCCCCCCCCCC